CCCCCCCCCCCCCCTCACACACACACCCTTAACAACTACACAAACATATGATACCATTTCTCTATGTAGTTTAACTCCGACGCTATACTTTTCTTATCTTTTTTAAACACGATACATTTTTAGATATCGTTGTCAATTAGTTTTGGTGAATAATTTCAGAGTCGCAAACTTGCTTTGTAACTATTTACGACTAGTACTTCTTTGAAGTTTTTTTTTAATGAACGTAAAAACACTATCACAAGTAAGTTCGATATTAGTATATTTTGTAGAATAAAATCATTAGTTAATCTATCTTATGTAAAGTAACATTGAACGTTATTTTCGCAGCAATAATTAAAAATAAAATTAACCAATAGAAAAAATAATTTCTATCTATTGGTACATTTAAAAGAATGTCGATTCAAATTCAGATAGCTCTTTAAATTAGTATTTTATAGGTATAATAAAAGTCGATATAATGTGAAGTAAACTGAGTTAAAGTGTGTGTTGGTATTCAGTAAATGATAACAACAAAGTATAACGTGAGTGTGTTGCGGCAGCGGGCGAGGTGTGTGCGGCGCGCTGACGCCCGTAAGTAGCCGCACAGCGCACTCCGCACTCCGCAATCCGCACTCCACACTCCGCACTCCACACTACACACTCCGCATGCTCCGCCTACTCCGCCTACCGCGCCTACCCTATATGCACCTTTGTTATCATTTCCTGACCTACCAAAGTAGAATAGTCATTTTAATTTACAACGTAAAGCCCTTAACGGACTTAGATTTCCCGCTAGATAAGTTAACAAATTACAGTTGTATTTAAGACGCTTATTAGTATCGATAGACGCATTTTAATATGACTTTTATTGTATTTAGTTTAGTAATAATTTAGACAGCAGAAAATAATTACATATTCGTAGGTTTATTGTATTCGCAAAAATAGTCAAAGCGTAGCAGTAATATTTAGTTTTTTAACTTTAGATGTTTTGCTTAGCGTACCTTGTTTTTAATATTTAGTATCATAGAATAATTTCAATAAAATAAAAAGATGACATTGACTCTACACAGAAAGAAATGCTATAATAAAATAGTTTTTTTTTAACTATCTTCGATGTTGTAGCAGGTAATTTGATTGTTGCGTGTTGTGTTGCGCAGAGGAGGAGGTGGAATGCGCGGAGGTGAACGTGGGCGCGGTGGCGACGGGCTCGGGGTCCAACCTGTTCGGGGTGTCGGGGCGTCTGGCGACGTGGGTGCGCGAGCTGTCGTCGCTGCACTCGCGCGCGGAGGACGACGCGGCCGCGCAGCCGCTGCAGCCGGCGCGCGCGCACAAGGGGCCCAACGGCGTGCTGCACGACCCCCTCGACCTCGACGACACCACCGGCTGCTAGCGCCGCGCGCTCCCCAGCGCACCCCGCGCACCCCGCGCACCCCGCGCCGCACAGCCTCTTATCTACCTCAGGCCGGCGAGCCAGTGCGCCGCGCTCTTCGAATCCTAGTTGTAAGCGTAGCTAGTGAATTGTTCGCCTTGTTTTATTTATTTCGTACGCTCGATCCCGCGAGGGGCCGCCGCGACCGCCTCGCCGCCTCGTCACCTCGCCGCCTCTCGCATACAGACATCGAAATTAAAAAAAAAAAAACGTTTTAATAATATAAGGATTAGTCATATTAAATTGCATTTTAGTGCATGACGGTATGATATCGATATAATTGTAAATTCAATTAATATTTTATGTATGAACTACATAGATTTTTTTACATTATGCATGATTACTTTTGTAATAATAAGTATTACTGTTTTTGTTACATATTATTTAATACATAGAAAACAGTTAAAAGAGACATACACTATTGTACATATCGTTTAAAATATACGAAGCTGAATAGATAGCGTTGTTCGCTTGTGCATATTTAAATTTGGATGTACATTTATACCAATTTGAAAGCATAAGAGGTGCATTTAGTCGGAACGACGACATCGTAAGAGTGTCAAAGACGGCAAGAGTTCGCCAAAGGCGGCAATAGTTTGCCAGAGACGGCAAGAGTTTGCCGGAAGCGGCAAGAGTTTGCCAGAGGCGACAAGAATTTGCCAGAGGCGGCGAGAGGTCGCAGCGGCCCTACCTACGAAGGTTCACTTTCATATCAAGGACAAGAACATTTGCGCCGGAGCTGTATAATAGAGTCGATATATCGACGTGGATCCTATATAGTGTACCTCAGTAACATAGTTGTATCGAAAGTCATTTATGACCGCAGCCTATTATCGTTAAGTTTACAATGTAAGGTGTAAAGTGTGTATAGGTGTAGCGTTAAGATTGTGTACAAATTATTTTATATTAATTTCTCGTTATAAATATAACCAGCGGAGTCCTGTTGCAGCGCGCGTGGTTACTCGCGAGTGGCAAATTCGTTTGTAAAAATATTGTAGTTGTCGCGAGCGACCGAGCGTTGCTACGACGGACGCGCTCCGGCCGCGAGTTTGCCTCTCGCGACGCTTTATGTTATAACAAATATATTTGTATATTTATAATACTCATTGTCCGTTTCATTGACGTTGATTGACTACGATTTTTATATGAAATTGTTAATTGTCAATATTCAAATATAATAATCGAAATTTAGATGAAAGATGCATTCAAATATTATATTAATAATTTAGAATGACTTGAATGACCTGTTTATTATAATATAAATAATAATTCGATCGTAATCATATCGAAGTGATTTCCAAGAATAACGTTGAAACAATGTGTTCTGTATCAATTATAAGGCAATAGATAATGAACTATTGTTACATAGCCGTAGTCCGGTCGTCCAGTGCGGGCGAGCGGCGGCTGGTCGCAGCGACGACAACCGACCTTAACTTACACTAGCTCTAATCTTATTTATTATTTCATGTGATTTAACCTTACTTAATGTAACTTAAGTAATGAAAGTACCGGCATGCATCGAGTGTTGTAATGTGCGGAACATTTGTTTGCATCATTGTTATATATTTTCTTATAAGATGTAATGTACTATATCTAATCCGGCGACGTAACGGAGTCGCGACGTGTTCGCACAGTACCTGACGACGACGTAACTGATATTATAATGTAAAAACGTCCACGTTGTCGACAAGCGACCCTTATTATCCCAAGTGACTTTTACATGTTATGCTGTTTTATATAATTATATTAAAACAATTTTTAAATGAACTTCTCGCGTCATATATGTAAAATATACAACATTAGCTACATAATACATGTTACATAAATATAGCCAACCAAAATTAGAAAGCAATACACAAGTCCCAAAGCATTAGATCCCGCTTCGCGGCCGAATCCGGGTCTAATGTAAGTATAAATATAATGTTATTGTTGTCGTATAAGGGTATAAACGAGTGCCTTCAAAAGTCCAGCCTTCAATGGAATGCAGGCTCGATGATAGCGAGCAGCCCGCGGCCTGTGTCGGTGCAGTGTCCTCACGCGCTAACACCCCGAAGTGCTGGAACATTATTGTATTTATCCCGTTGAAATTCCGTCAATATATCATATGAATATTCCACAAGCATTATAGTAATAGTTAATTGTATAATTGATAGCCTGCAATACGACATGGGTTGGTGGTCGTGGACTATGTATGTGTAGCGCGAGACGCGGTGGTTCCGGGCTCAAGGCACGCTGCATTGGTTTGTTTCTCGATAGCCATTATTAAACTTTCGATTTTCTAATTGTTTTTTAAAGTTGTAAATCCAAATGTTTTAATTAAGTAAATTGCATAGTGCCTTTTGCTCAAATTTGTGAAAATGTAACATGTTTTATTTTTGTTAATAATTAAATATAAGGTTATGATTGGGTCCGTATGCCGGCGCACGGCGGGCGGGGCGCTGCGGCAGTGGGCGGGGCGCCTCGCACAACGTTGCCTCTACACAGCGTTACCTTCGGGCTTCACTAATTAATTACCTTCGTTACTTATGCTCTTATCTTTATCAGTATTTACTATTTATTGTGATTTCCACCTAGTAAGGCAGTTACGTTACCTCATTCTTAGTAATTATGTTATTCGTAAATTATTGACTGATATAATAATTTCCAAATGATGTGTTCCTCGAGTGATTGTGTTGTGTTCGTGTATCGGATTGGATCGGATCGGATCGTATCGGATTGGTGGTGTCGGGGTAGCGTTGTGCTTTATGCTCAATTTAGATACAATTTCACCAAACGATTGAGATAGTGTATAATTTTTATATTTAATTTAACGAGAACCGAGTACCTATTAACAATAATTTTAATATTTATATTAATAAAAAGTTACAGAAATTAGCCAAGTATAGTTTTGAATATCGATGTATCCTAAAAATACCCCTTGTTTAAATATATTTTGTACCAAGTAAGGAACAAGGTCTATAAATATCTCAAGAATAAAAATTGATTTTTCAATTTCAAGAGTTTTTAATTCACAACTAAAATGAAATAAATTATTTAACATTTTTCTTTGCTCTCAACTTTTTCATATTGAGTATCCTGGGTCTTCTGGGATCGTATGGCTTGCATGTGCAAGCATCTCTCGTTGTATATAATTTCAAAAGTTTGGCCATTCTGTAGCATCCGAACTCGCCATTGTGCTTCAGTTTCTTTAAATTGCGGATGTAATAATACGGTAGGTGGTGTTCAATAGCACCGAGAATCATTACTTTTTTATAAGAGCGTGAGGGCCAACGCTCCACAGGTATGTCGTCATTGTCTCCTCGGGGCAGTGGGTTAATTTTTTGTATATAAAGCCGACAAACAAATTTTCCCATGTGTGGAGTGTTAACATCAGTATATTTGATGTAATATCTTTTGAAATGAACTTGTGTGTTTCTAAAGATAAATTAAAATGATTAATTAATAATGAAAGAATAAGATTTTTTAAATAGCTTAAATGATACTTGCTTATCAATAATTTCTATATCATCTCTGTTTACTCTCCAAATGACACCCCAAACTTGAGCATTTGCTGTGGCCACCACTGTAGCTTGTGGCCCACCCCAAAACTTTGAATACCTGATGAAATCCAATCTGTAATTCTTAAAACAGTTTTAATTAAAATTAAAATGTCCTATCTAAGATATAGACATCATAAAGTACAGTAACTTACATCCAAACGACCAATGGAAACAAATTCAGCTCTAATATTATCTAATTCATTTCTCACTGTCAACATATGGCTTCCATATGCAAAGAACAGTGTTGTACCAGGATCTGCTGTAGTGGACTCCATCATGGCATTGTTGTAAAATGAAATAATGACACAATAAATTTTTCTGTCAATTTATTTATTTTTAACAAATAATATTTTTACCTCAAAGGAGGTGTACAATAAATATTGAATACATAAAACTTTTTTTCACTCCATATTATATACATACAAATAGAGTTTTTCAACATTATTCATCAATAGGAGTCAAATCTAATTTTTCTATCAATTTTGGGGAAGCATGTTGTCCATTATGAGGGATTTTCTTCAATTTTTCTATGTACTCTTTAGGTAAATTACACTCAATAGCACCAGTCAAAATGCAGTTCAAATAAGTAATAGACGGTCTTCTGTCGAGTGGTATCTCCTCTCCTTCAGCTCGGGGTGGAGGGTTGATGGTCTGCTGATATGTACGACATTCAAGGTCCGTACCATCAGGTGTTACAACTTTGACAATCTTTGGGAAATACCAATTGGTTTCCACACCTTCTTGCCTAGAATGAAAATGATAAAATTGTTTAAATTATGGTAAGTGGTTATTTTCATAGATATCTTGTTAACATCAGTTTAATTCAAATTACCAATCCAAACTTTTGAGGTCTTTATTATGTACTCTCCAAACAGCTCCCCATACATGGTGATTCTTTATTGGTACAATTGTAGCAGATGAACCCCTCCAGTGGTCAGAATACTTTATGAAATCTAGTTGATGGTCCTGCAATAAAAAGATCGTGAATACTATATAAGAAAGAACTATATTTTTAGAGTATAATTCAATTAGCTTTATAAGATTTTTACATAACATCATAAATTGTTACAAAGTACATGCAAACTAAGTGAATAAGCTGAATATGCAAGAGATAATGGTTTTGTATAAAAATAATAAATGTATTGACTATCAGGTGATGAACGCTTATGCGTAAATGACTTATCATTTAATAATTACTTACATCAAGTCGTCCAATGCCTAAAAATATTGCAGATGGATTATTAATGTGAATCCTTTTCTTTAATAAGTTACTGCCATAGGCGAAGTAAAGGAATGTATCTCTAACTGGCGTCACCATTTTCTTTGATTTGAAACCAGGCGGGTCTTATCAAAGTTTAAAATGAATAGGAAAAATCACACAGCATTTTTAAGAAAAAGTAAGGATTAATATTTAGAGCACATGAATTTAAAACATTAAAATGCAAAGTTGTACAATTTCTCTATAAATATTATCATGATCAGAAGTGACGTTTTGTTTTAAGTTTTAACGACTGATAATGGCAGAAGACAATGTTGCCAATGAAATATCTCGTTAATCGACAACACTATTTTGAATTGAATATAGCCAATTTTGGCTGTAATATCTTTTGTATAAAGCGGTGAAATATTTCTTTACATTAGAAAAACGTGTTTTCTATGAACGTGCACACACCTTTGACTACACTATCGCATAACTATTTAATCGCTCTTTGATTCCTATGAGTTTATATGGAGGTGCTCACATTACTCGATTTTCAGTCGTGCAACTAAACAGTTGAATTGGCTGCAAAACAATCAACAATCGCATAATAGTTGTGAGTGTTTTGTAAACGGCCTGCGCCCGCTAGTATCATTTTTCTTACTTCCGTTTGCCAAAACTGAACTCCATGTTTAATATTTCATTGATCAGACAAGGGACAATAAAATAAAAAGTGATCATGAAATTTTTATTTTTAATAATTTCAACATTATGAAGTTTTACATAACAAATTGTCGTGTGATGGTAGGTAGATATAACAAAAAATATAGGATAGGGGTACAAGGATCATGAAGCATCCGGCAATTTTGTGAACTATCCATGTTAGCGGACTGTCAGGGTGATAATAGTCATATATTGACAGTTTGTCAGTTCACTTTTCGTAATCAAAACTCTTTAACCCCTGTTAGTTTGAGACACAAATTATTTTTAACAGTTAACAATGCTGAGCATAATTCATTGTTCATGACTTCAAACTATAATACCCGAAGAATGTCTGCAGGTAAATATGTGGTGCCTAGGGTACATAATCTGGTGATAGAAAACACTAAGAAAAAGTGTAACCTATGTATTCAACAGTTTATCTGCTATATCTTGATATGTAACGAATACGCTAGTTATTCGATAATGATTCAACACCCGCGCCCTCTCGTGACGCGTAAAAAACGCAGGGGCCAATGAGATAGCGCCGGCGCATGACACTTGACACAGTATGGCATAGAATAAGATTTAATGTAAGTTTATCTGTGTATCATATAAAGTAAACCGAAGATATAACCATTTATATAACTTTTATTCAACATAATCTCATAGATACCCTAAAATTAAATAAGTCTTACAAACTTTACATACTTTTGTAAGACATTGTTTTAACCATTTTTTCCTAATTGTATATTTATTTATTAATTAATTAATTAAATAAGGAAAGTAATTAAAAGTGACGTAAGAGATATTATTTTATAAATAAGAATATTACTTATAGTGGAGAAAGAACGGACCTGTGATTCCGTATGAAAACATAAATCTGCGAGTGTCGCAACAGGTATGTAAAAAAATCAATAACGCGCCCTTGGGGACGTGTGTATTAATCATGTGCGATTAATACACACGTCCCCGTGGAAATTTAAAAAAGGAATTGACTTAAAAAAATGGATATTTTTTAATAGTTTTAGCATTATTATAGTTTTAGCATTATTGCAGTCTTTTAAATTATTTTGTCTGTGTCTGGCTGGTTTTTATATAAATAATCATACATTTTTATTTTCAGGTGTTTACAAACAGTTTTCCGAATTAATAATGAAAGTAACGTAACCAAACGACCATTAATTATAATGACGACACCTGGGCATAGAAAAACAAAAAAATTAGATTATTGTGATACGGGCGTCGTAAAACGACGAAAAATACATGAATTTTATAATGTGAGGAATAAAATTCCAACAGTGAAAAAATTGAAAGGAAATCGTAAAATTATGTGTCAACACATTAAAAGGATCGGCTTTCGATATCGAAAAACTAAAACTAATTGCAAGGTAATTATGGAAAAAATGGCAAATGAGTATGGCGTGCTTGATACCTTAGGGTTTTCTACATGTAAAGAAAATCAGAATATCTGCATGTAATAGCTCTTGCCCACGACTTAGTCCGTGGGAAATTAAAATAATAGTTATAAACATCTCGTGCTACAGTGATAGTGTTCAGCGACCGAACGAAAAGCTGTAACGTGTTTTCGGTACCGAGGACTATTGCCTTCATAACATTAAAATACAATAATTATATCAACATAGTTTTTTATTTTTGGGATTTGTCTTAAGAGCTTCTACTCCTTTTAAGGACACATTCTCATTAAAGTTGTTATATTACGCTTATGTTAGCAGTACTTTAGAATATGCAAGTCTTATTTGGTCTCCTTGTCACTGTATACAAAAAACTAATTAAACGAATACCAAAAAAATTCATTTATCATGTCAATTACCGATTGCGTAAAAACTTTACATCTTATAGGTAAGCCTGCCATCGCAACGGACTACTGACTCTTGAAGAAAGGCGGATGTTTCTAGTGCACAGCACCAACTGCGCTGCCAACAACACTATTACACGGCTCGCGACCACAATTAACAATACAGACATCTTCAACCTTTCGAAACCAAAATGCAAAAAGCTTTATGTACCAACTAATAATATGTTATTTGTTTTTTTTTCTTTATATTCATTTATACTCCCTTACTGTGATGTGTGACTATCCTTTTTCTTGATTAATCATATTTTTCTGTATTATTTTTTCTTTATTATTGCATTATATTATACTTTTACTTTATAAGCTTAAATAAAAACCTGTCATTGGCTTTACTATCACATAATACTAGATGTAATATGTTTTTATATGTGTAGGTTGTTAAGGCTACCCCCCCCCCCCTTACTATCCATAGTGAAGGATGAGAGTTATAAAAGCACTATGAAAATTAGAGTCTTCCTTTCGACAAACGAAGTCATGGAAGGTCCTAGTTAGATTATAATGTACAAGGACTTCCTTTACAATTTGTGTTATTTGTATTAAAAAAAGAAGTTCTTCGTAAAAAGCGAAAATATTACCATGCTGGTAACCCTAAATGCTCGTAGGCGCCCCCTTTTCAATATCAAAAAGATGCCGCAAGATCCTTGTAGACCTATACAATAGGTTTTACCTTCCACAATTTAGTAATTTCGTAGTAACAATAATAAACTTATTTTGAGTATTAAATTAAATCTAAAATTGAGTTATATTTTTTTGAATACTTTTGTGCTTCCGTATTTGGCTGTACAGTATTGCACGGCGGCATAAACTTTCATAAGTCGTCGATCCACCGCCTTAAAGTGTTCTTCTGTAGCTAATTTACTTCCTTGATACCCTGCCAAGAGTTTTATTGTCTCTGATAAACTACCACCAGACAACAATTCTAAGTTTTGCCATGTTTTTGAAGATAACCTGTTAACATGACGTCATAATTTAATTTTCCTTAAAATTTAAAACATACTAATACTAATATTATAAATACGAAAGTTTAAATGTATAGATGGATGTTTGTTAGAATTTGTAGTCTTAACAGCTGAACGGATTTCTATAAAATTTGGCATAGAAGTAGAGGATAGTCTGAAAGAACACATAGTCTACTTGCATTTGTTTTTTTTTTAAATCCCGCGCAAACGGAGTAGCGGGCGAAAGCTAGTATTTCATAAATATAATATTTTCCTTACATGCAACATTGGTAGAGTGGCGCTAGAATATCCAATTCATCTACTGTTGGGTTTCCCAAACCTTTGCCATTGTCTAACAAAACTATTTGATCTTTATATACTTCATAACGATGTCTGTCGCCGTTTTGTATTAAAAAATCGAATATCGCCACATCTATCAGATTTAAAATCCTCCTTAAACTCAAGGTTCCTATAACTTTCCTGAAAAGTTATAATAAAACATTCAAATTTTTTATCACAATAGAATTTCAGATGATGGCAACACAAAAACCATAATATCGTCAGAAAACTATTAACAAAACCATGTTAAAAAAATTAAAGTTACAAAGAAAATACATTTATAATATTAAATGCACACTTGTAGAGATAATGTGATAAATTTTGTTATGAATTTATGTGTTCATGTTATAATGAAATGTGCAAAGTGCAAAAATGACCAGAATCTGGAACACTGAGTCATTGTGCAGGGTATTGCTGTTGAGCACTTACGATTATGTGGGAAAATATTCTAAAGTAACTACTTCATACAGTCTATAGTGCTGAACACTAAACTTATTTTATAGTAAACATCATTCAGCATCCCACACCGTCCATACTAGAAAAGTATAGAATAATATTCAGTAACGGAAAGTTTTAGTGTAATACAAATTAAAACATAGTTAAAATTACATAAAAGCTATGATAATAAAAAGAAATCATGCAATTTTTATTCAATAAAAACATAAAATAAATATAATTTATGTTAACAGTACTAAGCCATTTATTAGTTATTCCATTGACAAGTTTTAACTTTTTGTCTTGTTTGAAAAAGTTTACTCATATAAGCTACATTAGTGAACATTGCATCTCTAATTACTATCTAAAAGTACTATCAATGATTGAAGTACAAATACAATGTGGTACCCATTAGGGGGATGGCTTTATATGTATATTTTAAAATTCGATGGATTTAATATGGGGCTCAAGCTTTTGACACGAAAAGATTAAATTATTCCCATTGTCAAGATTTTACAAGCAACTTGTAAAGTACAATATCATAGTACTTACTTACAAAAATTATTATCCTCTTCCCATTCCATTTTTTTAGTATTATAAGATCTACGCCAGGGAGATTTGTGAATTTTAAACTGTCTGTCTAAATATAATATAGCGGCTCCTTCTATCTCACCATTTACATCAGGACACACTGTTTCATTTCTTTTACAATAAAAACATTTTCCATAAATACAAGTTGAACCACTTTCTGTAAGCATAGAATATCTTTCATTGTTAAAGAGTAATTAAAAATAATAATTGAGATAAAGTGCTGATATTATTTCTTATAAATTTCCAAATAGAAGAAACATTTTGTACTAGAATAACTATAAAAAAAAATTGAAAAATGATCTTTGTTATATAACAATAAAAATATTTACCATTTTTAACCATAGTTTTACTTAATCCTAATGTTGCCTTTGGCAATACATCTTTTTCAATGTGAATCTTTCTTATAGCGGAAGGTGCAATCCATTTGAAGTTTAACACCATTGCTAAATAGTAAGCAAACACTTCAGAGTTATGTCGATCATAACCAGCATAAATTCTGCCTTTTATTACATTATCTAGTTCATATCTCTTTGGCTTAAAGTAAAGTTTTTGTTTACCCTAGAAACAAAATTGCGAAATTTAAGTTATGATTTCTTAAATATACTTATGTAACACTATATAATTAATTAAAAATGCAATTAAGATTTTTTTACATTTGTATTAAATATTAGATCTAATCTTGATTAAATGATTGACAAAATTATACAAATGAGGTATCAGACCATTATTAAATTGTAAATAGAACTCAGAAAAGTGTGTATATTAAGCAACCATTGGTCTACTTTCTATTGATAAATAAATAAATATGGTTTTTGCTATTAAAATAAGTTACCTCTAATAATAGTAATAGTTTCAGCTGTGTTCCTTTGGGTGCATTATCAACCAGGGCTATCTGTGAGTTTTGTATTGCATGCAGGATGTGACCCGGTGCTCCATTTGTATGTGGGAATAAAGACTCATCACTGACCCACTGTAATTGAATATTTAAAATAATTAACTTGAATTTTCTTTTTATAATGCTATTACTAAATTGCTTACCTTTTCAGTTTCATACAAAACATCTTTTGAATTTGAGTCCGCACTAGAGTTAAACAGGCTTATAAGGTATTTCTGTTTTTCTATAAATTTAGGATTTCTTGTTTTGTATTGATTAGGTAAATAGTTGAAATATGTAAATATGTCTTTAAAAACACTTGGTCCTAAATCTAATTTAACATTGGGTACCATATATGGTGAGGGCCTTTTTCCTGTTGTATTTAAGGCGTAAAAAAAGTAAAGATTAAGGCCTACAAGTAGAAGAAGGAACAATGAAAATGCAAAGGCATAGTTTAATGACATAATTTGCCTTTAGACTGATTATTTTCATCATATATGCGACAAGAATAGAAAATGGTGGTGTCTTCTTATTTGGATTTAAACGCATCACAACTTAAGTTCACAATAAAGCCATAAACCTTATACCTGGAGTCACTTCTGAATACTGCCGAATCAACTATAATTTACTAGAACTTAATTCATATAGTTATTGGGCGATATATATAGAGGCCGAAAGGTTAGAAAATAACGTTGAGAGCCAAATCAATGTAATTGGTAACATATGATCTTTTACATACGGAAATCTATTGAATTAAAATTAAATTGACATGACATTTTGGCAAATCTCAATTTCTATTTTGACAAAAGTATCAGTTTTTGACATTGACGTTTGAAACTAAACGGATTTTTTTATATATTTTCATGGCACGTTTACGAGTCGCTTAAGCCAAAGAAAATGACAACTACTGGTATAAAAATATTTTTTATTGCGTTGTATTAACAACTAAAAATTAATTCAAAATGGAGTGAATTAGTTTGAAGTTAATACATGATAAAGGTAGCCTTGATAAAGAAAACGACAATAATAGGTTGTGTTTGGCATATTTTTATAAACAATAATATTCGTTCAATTTTTACATGTATTTTATCACATAAATCAAACATTAACTTATGTATTAAATCATATTAGAAACATCATTGCTTTTATTTTAGTGCTGCATAACCAGTGTTACATTTGTTTCAAATAGTGTAAAGTTAGAGGTTTAACAGCGTGTACCTTATTCGTTATATTTTCTCACCAGTTGACCATACACATTATTGTATAGGCTAGTAGCCTAATACCTTTAACCTATTTAATAGTTTTCCATCTTCTTACAGTATTAGGTCATTTTGGATTTCCGAAACATTTGTGATAACATGATGATGTATAGATTTAGTTACACAACATCTACTAACTGCTTATAGTTAATTATATTTTTAATTTATTGACAAAACCTTACATTTACATTACTCTAAGAGGATCATAAAGATACATTGAAGGGATAGCCTAGTTTGTTTCGTATATGGCTATCGGCAATCCTTCCATTGGTGGGGAATGTGTGAAGATATCCGATGTACTGCGGAGGCAATCCAGCTTCATATGCTCCTAGAATCATCACCTGGGAACAGTAAAAGTCAAAGTTTAAAAATACAGTAGGAATGTACAAACTTCTGTTACTAGCAATCGATCTTTTAAAATAAGTTCTGTAATCAATATTCACGTTGCTCCTAATAACTAGTATGTATGAATTAAGTAATTTCTTACCTGTAAGTACGTGTTTGACGGTCTCCGGGCCGGTGGAAGTGTCTCACCTTCGCTCAGTTTGGGAAGAAGAATGATTTCTCTGTAGGTTCTTGCAATGAGGTCTCTTCCTTGAGGCGTGGTGACGGTAACATTTATTGGGACATACCACCTTAGGTGTACACCTTCTTGCCTTAAATTTAACCTATTTTTTAGTTCATATCAAAAGTCTTTTTAAAAAGTAAGAAAAAAAAGAATAAAAAAGAATGGAAAAGTGAAACGACTAGAATTAGATCCTTAGCATTCCCATACCATAGCTTACAAATGCTTACTGTAAAAATGTGACTCCTCTTCCTAAGGTGATGGTACTTCACGGGAAGAATTAAAATATAAAAGAATTAAATCATCAGGATCACGTAATAATATAACTAGGAAATAACTGTTGTTTGTATTGTAAGAGTTATTTAAGATTAAATAGTGTCATTTAAAGTGAAGACGAACAGAACACAATTTTAAGTATTTATGGCAAGCGCATCATTTCGCTAGCTTTTCACCTTTCACATGCTGCTCTAGCTGCAGAAACATGCTATTTTAGCTAACCATGAGACTTCATAAAGTTTGATTCTTGCATTACTACATAGTTTTTTCGTTGATTGGCCTTACGCTTACGGTACTACTGTGTGGAATGATTGAATTCTCACACAAATTTGAATTTCTTCACAGACTAGGTAATTATGCTTTCCTTGGCGGTAAGAATGTCTGATAAATATACAAATGATTTTCGATTAATTTCATATAATCGATAAACTATTTGTACTTGACGGGATATCGAATCCCATTGTATCTATTACAAGTTGCTTGTGTTTTCACCGACAGTATTTATGTAAGTAGTCTTAACGTAGGTGTATAATTAAAATAAATACTTACTCGTCAAGGCGATACATCTGCTTCCTCTCTATGATCCAGACGGCGCCCCACACGGAGCTGCCGGGGTCGGTGACTATAGTGGCCGCGGCGCCGCGCCACGACGGCACGTACAGGTTGAAATCCAATCTGTACCCCTGACATCACAAATAGTCTTATGGTGTAAGTGACGAAAGCGCAGTACCCGTACAGTTGGTCAATCAATGTTTACTGTTTTTATTAAGCCCAAAACTAGTACATTTTCCTCGAGCGTCTAAAACTTTAAAAGCTTGCATAAATGTTTTGAATTCCCTGTTGTCTATTCTAAGGTCTAAAAGTGGGCTTAGCAGAAGCAGTGTCGTAGCGATTTGCTACGAAATACATTGAAATACTACTCAAATAATGTTTGAATGTCAACATTTTAGTTAATTTTATGTCAATTAAAATATTAATTATCTATAAAAATACATAAATGAATTTTCTTACCTTTAACACAGCCGGGGAATAAAATTCTGCAGTAGGATTTCTTAAATGTATTCTTCTGTCCAGCATATTACTTCCATAAGCGAAATAATAAAAAGTATGAGGGTTCGCTTGTCCATAACAGTGGCAATACGAAATAACACTAAGAAGTATATCAATTAGCAAATACATCGCGACCGTTCCGTCTCTCATCTAAGCGTGAACTAAGCAAATCCCATCGGCTGCTCACTTACCTAACGATTATAATTTATAACAAAACAGTAAATATTAACACGATGTTTTATAAACAATGGTTATAGTATTCGAATATAATAGTAGTCAATATTTATCACAGCTGATATTCGGAGTAGTGTATTAAGAGGTTATGATTGTGCACACGAGTGGGTATTGTATTTTGTGCAACGTAAGCCACACAGTCACGATGTTATGCATTACTTGCGTTTGTGATTACCATCAATAGAATCATAACTCATAAGGGTTTACTTTTTCTAAAGCCGTCAATTGTTTATGATCCAGACATGGGGTCGACTCATTTCCCAGCGAGTAAAAAAAAATTTCTTTTACAGCATTTTTATGTTTGCGACTACTCGAAATCACCTAATAGCACAGCGACCGTTGTCCATAGATATCAGATGCGTTGTCTACCCTTAATACAGGAATGTAGAGAAACCCAGAAAGAGAATATTTCCTCTTCCACGGCGTCCTGTTTCTTCTATTCCTAATAAAAGAAAGGTGGCAAGACAAGGGGAGACTAAAATTAGACCTCATAGCCGATTGAGTGATTTAAGAAGGGACTAGATTAGTGTAAGCCGCTTGTCGAATGTACATTGTAATACGTGCGATATCGTTATTGTGTAATGTCTGTTTTGTTATCGAGTAAAATATTTTGGCAACATTGTCCACGAGATGTTAATTTTATTATGAGTCATTGTCAAAGATCGTCCCTTGGTGACTCGTCTTATGTATTTAAAAACATACATATAATAGTTTGTTTAAAATATAGTCAGAATAATAATACACAAGCATTAGCTTAAGTAGATGTATGTGTCATGTATTTATTATTTATGCACATTATAATATACCCCTTATTTTATTTTCACAATTATAGGTCAGTAGCACTTGTGTCGGTCGCACTGCTCGCATGGCCCACACAACACCAGATAAGCTAAGCTTAAATAAAGTAAAACACGAGTCAGCAGGACTGAGACAAGAGATTGAAATTGCAGAATCGAACCCAAAACAAAAAAGTGGACTTGTGATTTGAGAACAATTTGGATTTGTATGTAAGAAACATTTATAAAATTACAATTCGCCTAATTGTTATCGATTTAACAGAACATAGACACACATACATTTGTCTAAAGTTAATCATATTTAAAAATAAGTAAAAAAAAAAACTTTTGTATTCACGTTGTATGGTTTAGTTGTGCATTGAGTCAAAGTGAGAGTACCTATAGTTACATTGATGTGAGTCGTGTTTGTTTGCTGAGATGTCGCGTCGCTCGGCGAGTCTCCGAGGCTGCAGGCTGCTGTACCGGGCTACGAGGAGAGACGAGGGGATGTTTGTCGCCGATACTAACGCGATTACGCCCAATCAGCTCCGTTGCCGCCCTAATTGGACGCACCCCGCGCGAGGGCGGACGCTTTTTTAACAGCTTGCGTAAACATTCCACTCTCCTCACAACTGTCTGGAAGGGCTCTAACAATTCAAAGTACATTTCGTTTGATAAGAATATTAGTAATAGTGATGTAGACAAAACAGTTTACATTTATTTCAAACTATACAATAACATACGAGTAGTTGCTTAGATTTTTAAGTAACTACCTACTACAATTTACTAAAATATGATGCTTTTTGAGACTATCCGGAATTTATTTTGTTCTTAATGGGATTCGAAATGAAAATAGATAATAAAGTCTACTGTCATACATATGGCAATCAAATAAAAAATTAATTTAAATGTTTAAAATAGTGGCAAGTGTTGAATAAAGTGAGATATTATCATAAACTCACCCTCGTTGTATATTTAGCGGCGTGTTAGCGTACGAGATTTGATTATTAACAATGCAAAAGGGCCGACGGGGTGGCGGGGCGGGGGTAGTGGGGCAGCGCGGGCCATCAATCAGGCTACCAAATGTAGAAACAATTCCACCGCCGATCGTGATTAATGTGCAATGTTTATCGCCTCGCATGATCATTGTGCATCAAAGAATCATCATATAAATAATAAAATACTATTTCTCAAAAGCAAATTCAACATGATAACTCAGTCGCAAGACAAGCAGAAAACTATCTATTTTAAAAGGAGATTAACACAATGATTTTTCGAGATAGGGAATACCTTAATAATAAACCACAAAATCGGTCTACTAGCGGCGGAGTTATGCCGTAACACTCATAAAAAAAAATAAAAAAAAGTATATCGACGAATTGAGTACCTTCTTCTTTTGGGAAGTCGGTCAAAAAAGAAGATAACCCTAAAAAGCATGTAAATAAGTAGGCTTGTAATTTCTGGCCTGAAGAAAAATATATCCTTAAATTACAATACAAATTACTTTAGTGTACCAATTTAGGATGTGTCCGGAGTTGAAATTTGATCACAGAATTAAATGCAATTCACGTTTATAATATTTAATTACTTAGAATTTAAATGAATTACACAGCTATAAACACGGCGAGTTTTGTGAATAGTTAAGTGTATTAAACATGTGCTTTCTAATAATTATACGTACGTATTTACATCACTTATTTACTAAAACTTTAAACATTTTTAAAATTATACACAAACACATTGGTACATTCTTAATAGCCAAGTTTCTTTGACGTCTCCGTTCTTTCGATATTACCACACTTATCACAGTTATTTCATTTACATAATATACTTTCACAAATTAATTTTATGTATTTGGTCGAATTTGTTCACTTTTTAATTAGTATTAGAATTAATATTTCGTATACGTACATAGTTAACATTCTAAATACATCCCAGGATAACTAAAAATCCATGTATCAATAATTTCTGCTCATGAATCTATTGTAATTACAAATAATTTTAAACTGTTACTGATGTTTATATTATCGATATTAACTACATTGATTCCATAAATGATCAATCGAAACTTTATATACGGTTATTGGAAATACGCAAAAGACATTCATTGAATTTAATTTTAAAGTATTGAATTACATTTCGCATTTACAGAGTCAGGAGAAACATTTAGACAATTTAGAGGTTACTAATAAAGTCAATTATTCACAAGTTTAATTGTTTTTATCTCAATTTCCATTTATAATTAACAGTTTCGCTAAACTATGTGTGTAGATAGGTTGTAGTTTTAATCTTAGTATTGTCCGGTCTTAGTAGTTAGAACACTGACAGTGGGTCGCGCTACGCGTCGGCAGGTGTGGTGGCGGGCGGCGGTGGCGCGGGCGGCAGCGGTGCTGCGTGTGCAGCGTGTGGAGTGCGCGCGGGCGGCGAGGGCGCGCTGGCGGCGGCGAGAGCCGCGGCGTGCCGGCGCGCCTTCAGTCGCAGGTCTGCAATGGAGGAGGAGCGACAGCGCGCCGCCAGCGCCGCCAAACCCGCGTACGGGGGACACAGCGCCGCCGCCGCCGCCGCAGCCGCGCTCGCGTACTGACGTCACACAATACACACGTTTTAATAAACTCAGGCCACACGGGTGTCTTCCTTTCGATACGATATTAGAATGTTTTTACCTGATGGGCGGCAGCGGATAATATCGCAGAGTCGAATGGAGCGAAGGCGGCGGGCGGCGCGGGGTGCGGCGCAAGAGGCAGCTGCGGGGGTTGCGGCCGCGGCACCCCGGATAGCCTCGGCACGGACACATACGGCGCCACGCGGCACGGCTCCAGCGGGGTCCCGCCGCCGCTCACGACAAGACCTGCGTATGTTGCTAGTGTAGAGAGTAGAGCATAGAAGGTAAAGGATCTTAAAGCCAAGAGTCTTAAAAGCATGATTAATAATCAACCAAAACACATTTAAATAGATGTTAACTTAAACGAGATCCAGAATAGGAAACAGTAGATAGTGGTATGCAATAAATTAAATGTTCACGACGAGACGTTGTAGTCGACATCGCATTGATCCGAAGCGATCGGAAACAAACGAGCGGTCTGTCGCGCGAAAATCCCGCGGGATTTCTTCCCGAACGGCACTTAATTAAATTGATATTTAAGTAAAGCATAATTTGCTCGTAAATTAAGAGAGATCCGTTGTTTATAGCCCACCCGTTGGGTGAAGTGGGCAATTAATAAATTAACGCGAATCTACCCGACTTAAGATGTTCAGGAGTTTCGTCGGAAGGATTCATTAATTTAATTATATACTCACCTTGGACCTCAGTTTTCAATTAGACGTAACAATGAACAGGCGGAGTTTACAAATTACATTTTAATTATATTTTGATCACATTGATGTTGAGAAAATATGAAATTGAGGTACTTAAATCAAAACAGGTGTTACTGTAAAATTATAAATTAAAATTAATGACTGATTTTTATTACTTTTTAATGCCATTTTTGTTTCGACAATTTGGCGTCAAACATCGTAGATGTAGTTAGTCGTAGCGGATGCCTACGAAAAGCGCGTAGCTGCGTAGTTATGCGTGTATCGGTAAGGCGGGCGGGCGCGATGCTCTCGTAAATCAAACCGGCTCCGGTCGCCCGTCGGCATTATCAAAATGGATGCCCTTACTCGTATGAGTTATTTCCATATTTGACACTGAATTACTTTGGAGAAGTGCCGACATAAATACGGCGCGTGCGTCCGGCGCCCCGCCCTTCGCCCCTCGCCCTGTGCTCTGCGGCCTTCGTGCATTTATTTGATTAACTTCGAGTTGTTTAATTTAATCGAATTAGAAGGTAAGCCGTCGCGGGAGCTCTTTTACTCTCTCGCTTACTCTCACTCGTTTTAAAGTGCGTCGAACATCTTTACAGCGGTTTCTGCACAATAAAACATCGCCACCCTCGCGCAGTGCAAATAACTTTACAATTTCATGAACAGGGGAACAATTAGGCGTCGGTGTATTCTTTTATTTTTATATTTCACGGCGGCTGTTATTGTTTTTGTAACGGGCTTTTACGCGGCGCGCGGCGAGATTTCAGAGATTCATATCTTCGTTAAGAATGAATTCTTAATTTAATGAAGATACAACGCTCGCCTTTTATGATTTGTTAGGACAGAAACAAATGTTAATTGGGGTTTTGTATTTTTGCTAGAATTTTTATATTGTAGCAAATAGGATCCTTGCATAATTGTTATTATGCGACGTGGGTAATATGGATTGGTTACACATATTATTTAATAGTAATCGCTTAATAATGTAGAAAATCTCGCTATTCCTAATAAAATATGCAATTGCTGTTACTTATTAGTTGCTCAAATCCAGTATCAGCATGACAACAGAACATTATCTGGCTCTTAAAGCTGAGAAGTTTGTAGTATTCCCAGAACAGGTAATCACCACTGTTTTGTTTGATTTTGTCTGTGATTCCGTAGATAACATGTAGAAATTAACCCGATTAGAGCAAAGTGCAAAGTAACACGAAGGTAAATAAAATGAGTTATTATAGATATCGATGACAAAGCACGAGAGGCGATCGCGAGAATCGATAACATCCCGCGAATCTCGTCGCTTCCCTTAAAGGGGCAAACATAACAAATAACCGTTTCATTTCACTTTACATGATTGTTCTCATGTTAGCCGGGCAGTGCGGGGTGGAGGGTGGAGGGGCACGTAAGTTAATAAGACATTTAGCAGGGGACGGCGGGATTGCGTCCGAATGGCTCCCGCGGGGAATCATTTTATTCGATTCGGGAGAGCGGCTTTTTTCCGCTTTACGCTCCGTTTAGCGGTTATTCAATGCTCTTACAATCACGGGATAGTGCGCGCCCGCGGAGCCACTGCGCTCCCTGTCATCTCTGCTTTATAGAACTGACAAGATGAACGCTGACGGTCTTTACCGCATTACATATCATCATTTATACTGCGTCCCACGACATTAATATTACTAGGTATGTGGAGCTACAATTCAAAAGCATAATTTTTGCTTTAATCATAACTCAATTGAACTCTAACTTGCTAGTTGTGGGTACAGCCCTTGGACAGTAGATGTAAGACCAACTTTAATGTGTGGCTTGTTTGAAATTTTTTTGATGCAATCCGCAGAGTAATAGACAACTGTAATTTGTAGGATTGTATTGTAAAGTTTAGAGGGTTTATTCTACTAACTTGGGTTTTGCTAGATGATGAATAATTGAAGATTTAGGATGTACATATAATGGATATGTTTTTATATTGACCACTATGTTACAAATGCTGATCACGGTGTGTTCGGTGTAACGTAAGTGCGTTGTGCAATTTGTCGGATTTATCGGCCCACGTGTACCGACTCCCGCGTTTTTTACCGTCTCTCGCGGATTGCCTCGGCCTCCGCCCGCCATTTTAATTATTCATCCTCGTGAGTTATGGTCGAATTAAAAAACTGTTAGAGTCGGACCGGCGCCGTCGGGAGCTCTAATCGAGTTACATCGAATGATGTAGAATACTTAATGTGCTTTCGCTGCACTTATTTTTGAACTTTCGACCTTAGTTGCTTTGATTTTTTGTTATTCTTATATAATCACTGAAATTAGACAATCTGATTCAAAATAGTTACACCTTTTACAACTACAAAACACCAAACACATTCAAACTACTTTTATTAGACAAACACTCTACCACTACTATTCAACCATTTTTTTTAATAACTGAAATAGCGTTTTGAAAGTTAATTCAGCTTTTCAATAGTGTTTGTAAAAAGACTAAAAAAATAATACTATCAATTGAATAAAATTAATATTAAAATTAAGCACCAACCTTTGTGCATTTGGCTCTCGTGTTTCCGACATTTGGCGCGTCTGTTTTGAAACCACACCTGCGAACAGATACTAATTAGTATTAAATCAAACAAGTCGCACCATCGCACTAGCTGCGGTTCATTTCAATCAGCTAAATCGATAACACTAACATATGGAAATGTATCCCTAACGGAGACGTGACCACGTTCGTAGTAACATTTTTGGTGAAATCTAAATTGAAATAAACTGTGAACATATCAATTTAATAATACGACCAATCTTAGAAAATCTGTACAGTAGTAACATACTTACGTACATAAGCCGTACTTATTGGGTGGATTATTGGATATTTAAAAACGATAGAATTTTCAATACCTTGGCTACTCTACCAAGATTTTTTTTACAGATAAGATTAATATTGATTTGAACTCATTGAGTTGGTATTTGAGTATATAAAAATGACTTCTAAATTAGAGCAAGCTATTCGTAAATTAAGCGTGTCTGTACATACTAGTACAGTGTAATCGCGTTACGTTTCCCGACACGTACGGTGAGCGTACAATGTACACATTACACAGTAGGTAGGACCGCGTGCAGGCAGCGACGGACAAACACTGGTAACCGCATTAGTGCGGAGGGCACGTCATGCTGATTGCACTCCACGGGCAAAAGCTACGACGTCGCCTCCGTGTCCATGTGAATATTAAATTTACCTAATGATTGTACCTAGTGTGTACAGGAACAAACAAATATATTTATACCAATATAGTAACAAAATATATTGTACGAGAAATATAAATATCTAATTATACCTAAATCTGTACAATTTCTGATTAAAAAAGCTGTTATTACCTAAAAATTCTGATATTACAATCAACAAACATTACATTTTTTGAAAATAACACAATAATTAATAGATAATCATTATCGTAGACAAGCTTTCGCTCGTGACTCAGTTCACTTGTAATTAAAAAAAAAAATAGGTAGGTTGTATATGTATTCCTCCAGACTATCCTCTATATCTACCCTATGACAAATTTCATCGAGATCCGTTCAGCAATTTATGCTCCAAACTCTAACAAACCTCCATCCATCCATCTGTCCATCTAAACTTTTGCAATAATAAAATTAGTAAGTTAAATAAAATAAAATGTTTGTTAATTATTTGATGGTACGGCGCAGCGGCTACGATATGATACATACATTGCTTGTAGAGACCGATACGCTAGCACTAACTAGGGGTGGATTCATTAGCTCTGATTACATTAGACAATTTGACTAAACAAACATATGTACACACCACCCCGTGTTATACCCTATAATCCGTGAATAATTTAATCTATTTTAAACAGATTCAATACAAATGTTTTTTTTTTACATAAATTTTGATAATTACATTAAAATCTAACTAACATTATAAATGCGAAAGTTTAGATGGATGGATATTTGTAGCCTAAACAGCTAAACGGATTTCGATGAAATTTGGCATAAATGTAGTCGTAAGTCTGGAAGAAGACAGACTACTTTTGTATTTTTTTTAGTTCCACGCGAAAGGAGTCGCTGCCGATGGCTAGTATAAAAATAATTATTCTTCTCAAATTATATAATTTAGTGTGACGGTAAAATCACCCAAATTAAAATGATGCGATATTTTGAATCTACAGTTTGTAGTTGTTTTACTGTTTAGTATAATATTTATTACAAGCTTTCACCGGCGACTTCGTCCGCGTTGAATTAAAAAAAAATAAAAGTCAGTAACCCTTTGTATTCTTCCAGATTATCCTCTATATCTATGCCAAATTTTATAAAGATCTGTCCTGTCGTTTAGGCTACAAACTCTAACAAACATCCATCCATCTAAGCTTTCGTATTTATAATATTAGTAGACATATACCTTCGAATATGTTTCATGTGTTAATGATAAGCCGAATTCCAAAAGATTTGAACGTTTAAATAAATACTAACTATATTCTTGATTTGACAGTAGTGAAGAAATACAACACAAGGGTCAAGTGGCTTTTATTTTTATGTGTCACTTTCTGGGGTACAAACCCCTACTACTGGACACTTACGTATATCGCTTAACGCCGATCGGGCACTAATCTCGATATATGGCCGATAAAGTGGCACTTGTTGGATACTCGCAGATAATTACTTGCATTAGTAATGTACGGGGTTCGAGACGTTAAGCGGTGCACATTACAAGGGTACAAGTGCCGCCCTAATTAATATCGCACGTAATCATTGTCATTAATCCCAGTCCTAAAGGTGATGACTATTTTACATTGCTTAATCTTAACCCTTCATAGTGTCCAGTGTGATAAACAAATAATAAAAATAATGTACTGAACTGGTTTAAAGAAAAATAGGTGATTGTGTTGGCAACATATATTTTCTTGTTTCAAAACCTCCGTCAAATTAAGTGTTGAACCTTCAATAAAGTTAAAACACATATGTTAAAATAAAATTTAATTTGTCGATTGTAATATTCTGAACTAGAATTTCGTAAAATTGTATAATCTAAATCTGAAGAACTGTTTATGTCTTTTACCGCAATTTTTTTCAGAAATAGGGAATAAAAATAAATTGGAAATATTTGAGTTTTATAATATTTGTGAGCAATCGTAAACGTGTGGAAAAAAAATCAGAGGACAAATGAAAACTGCTTGCCAGCTAATCTTACCTGTACCCTAGCTTCGCTAAGTCCCAGACGTTGACTGAGCTCCTCACGCATGAAAGCATCAGGATAGTGAGTCTCGTCGAACAGACGCTCCAATTCGGCAAGCTGCTCCAACGTGAAGTTGGTGCGTGACCGCCGCTGTTTGCCGCCGCCGCAGCCGCCGCTTACTGACCCATTGGGAGACTTGTCCGTGTGATCTGGTTAGTAATAAATAAAAAAAAGCAATTTGATAAAGATACAGATTTATTAATAAGCTTCTAATATTACCAGAGGTTAGTATTTAAAAAGGAAATTAAAACAATTCCTTTGAAGCTATAGAATTTAATTATAATATAATTGGAATTGGTAATCTGAATATAATTATGAAGTCGTTACATCTTCATCCTTAATCTTCAAAAAATTAACGGTTGTTCATAATAAAATCCTTAAATAAATAAGTTAAAATACAGAACATACAAAGATACAAGAGCTATCTAAAAATCAGTGTTAATTTTTATATGTCAAACCGATCCCTCAGGGAATGCGCCCCGTCTAACGCCGTCGATACGTTTAACAGTGTCGTTTGAAGCAATTTAGCAAATTGGGAAGCTCTCCTTTTTATACGGCAATTATGTAAATGGAGGGATTATCCAACTGTAGGCGGCGTACCCCCTCCCCCGGACTCTCCCCTTTCGCCCCCGCGGGCATCCCAACTTCTTAAACGGTTAAGACCTGAGAACCGGTGATTAATTATCAAACGATGCACAGAATACTTCCATTAAAAGAGCTGTGATTTATTTCATTTAGATGTCTTTCTGGTTATCCATTAATGGTATTCTCGTACTTCACGGTGGCGCTTAAACTCAATTAATTTACCTAAACTAATGACCGGAAGATCGATTTGTTTCGTTCCTGTTTTATAATAGCGTACTTCTGATAAATTGAATTAGCGTGGTATGGACATGTTATGCGACGAAACGATGGGGACATAAACCAGAAAGTGTTAAGATTGAATGTGGATGGTTACAAAGGAAGAGGAAGACCGAAGAAAGTATGGATGGATTGTGTGAAAGAGGATATGTTTAAGAAAGGAGTGGATTCAGATATGACGGCTGGTAGAGATGTATGGAAGATTAGCACATACTATGCCGACCCTCCGTAAGGGATAAGGGCAAGTGGATGATGACTTCTGATTAATTGAAGTCAATCGCGGTAATTAATAAACGATCAAGACCGAAGTCTAGTAAAGTTAATTTGTCAAAAAGAATAATGCATGGTTAATTTTCGGTAACATGAAAATTTAGGAAAAATTGGTAGGAAATTGCGAGATAAAATGGATTAGCATATTATAATATGAAAATCGACTATTAGTTACTTAGTTTTGCTTTAACAGATGAAAATTGTCAATAACTAATGTTGTGTGCACAATAATTTATTACACACCTTATTGTAAAGTTTAATGAAAAGTAGTTTACAAGGATTATAGCTTCGGCTTTTTCTTTCTTTACTTCTTACTAGCTGTTGCTCGCGACTTTGTCCACGCGAAATTAAAAAAAATACATAGCCTATGTTACTACAGATAAATTTAATTTTTTTTGACTTTCTAATGGTGTAGGAATTTTTGACATCGGTTTAGTAGTTTTAACGTAAATCAATTACATTGCATTCCCCGCGACAACGAAAAAAAAACGTGAATCAAATACATACAAAAATACAAATCTTTCCTCTTTATAACATTTGTGTAGATAGATAAGTAGATTCTATAATTTTTTTTTTTTTTAGATAAAAATATAGAAGACTACTTATTGATCAAAAATATGTGTTTTACAACAATGTTAAATTTTACTTGGGTGCAAAGTAAAAGCATTAGTAAGCATTCAAAACCAAACCAAATTATGGGTTATATTCATTGCCGCCACGAGAAAACGTTATTATTCGTTTTAATTGAGTCTGAGTAATAAGAAGATTATTATTCTTAACATCCAAACCACTTTAATGATATTAAGAACATAACTGAAGCAAGCCATAAAGCTTGGGTGTTCCAATGTTTTATACGTTAATTTTTTATTGGTTTTAAACATCAAATTATATCTGGTATCTAACTATGTAAGTATGTAGTTAAATAGTTAAATCTTTTGGTGGCGTGTCAATGATTTAATTATGATGATGGTAATAATAGTGATAATTTTATGATAACACAATGATTTATGTGAAAGTAGTCTTGTATAAATATTTTATCACGTTACTCAATTAATATGTAATGTCTAGCAATGGCATCATAGCGCCAGCGATGACAAACAGAAGTAGTATTCCTACCGTGCCTAGCATCGTCATCGTCATCGGTTTCCTTTTTGCAGGTCCTAAGAGGCAACGGGGAGATGAGCCAGTTCCGCGGTCGCTTTGCTGGCGGCGCTTTTTCTTCGAGCGCGGTGATGTCCACCTCCTCGTCGGCGTCGGGTTCCCCGGGTTCCGGCGGCGGCGTCGGCGCCGCACCACCTTCCAACGACTTGCTCACGAAGTCCGCCAGCCGCTCCATCACCATTACTGCCCCGAGCACGCGTCACCGCGCGCGGCCATCACTCGCCACGCTCTAAAGCCCGCACCGTAGTGAGGGCGGGCCTCACGCCTACACATCGTTAACTTAAACACCTACAGCCGATCTTCAGCTTTAAAATGTACACAGTTTGGCTTCAAAATTGTAGGGAGTGTGCACAAGGGCGGGCACAGCCCCCGCCCAAGCATCGCGCACGCGCCCGCCCTGCGCCCGCCTTGCGCGCGGCTCGCGCCCGCCACAAACACCGCCGGCGGCGAATAACATACGCCTACATTATCGTTATATTAAAATGAATTTTTAACAATTTTCTCTAATGTTAGGTGCTAAAGAACCAATATGTAAAGAAGTGCTAGTACAAAAATATCGTAACAATTTGAATAACTACGTTAATCATGTAAGATATTGACAAATTTGTTTCGCACATCTCTATTGTGTGTCAAGCACATGAACAATTTTGTGTTTATGATCACTTGTGGTTTTGTGAATGTTTAAATACGCTAACTACCTATTGCTAAAATGTTTTCAAAGATTCCATTAAGTGGTGTGTTAGTTGAAGGAGATACTGAAGTAGAAGTGAGTAAGTGCGTAAATTATTTAATTTTACATGTTATGTTTTCACATATTCATGCAATACATATGTTTAAGATATACCAAAAAAGTACCTGTGTAAAAATGTATCACAACAATCAAATCCAATTCATAATTCGTAGTTAAATGCATTTATAATATATTTGTATATAAAAATTCTTACAAATTCTTTGTACAAGATTATAAAAAAATAAACATTCAAAAACCGAGATCATACAATAGCCGCAGTAACACCAAAGCCGAGTCTAAATTTGTCATTAGGATGGTTTAGGAGTGCGGAAATAGCGCAGGCTAGCTTCGCCCGTCGGCCTCCGAGAGCCCGATGTAGCGTGGCTCCCACTAGACCGTCCGAGTCCACAGAAGCACGAACTGTCCAGTCTTCTGCCCGCCATTCGTATGCTAGTGTAGCCACCGACTTACGGATAGCAAAACCGACCTGAAGAACAATCCATAAAAGCATATGAGGTTTATTATAAGAAACGAGAGTATCCGAAAAAATTTCATAATTATACAAACTTAAATAAACCCATCCCTTTAAAATATCTAATAGTTACTGTTGCTTACAACTGTACCTTTATACTCCTATTAATTTAGTTTATTTCGGTTCGTTTTGTATGATTGATATTAGAAAGCAATCTTTGTCTGCTGCATCTTTTTTTTACAAAAGATTTTCACCCGTACGTAAATCAGGTTATGAACGAAACGAACTCAAACTTTAAACACGTACAAGTTACAAATATGAAACAAACACAAAATTCAAAGCTCGCGTTGTCGCTTATTGTATACTGTCTAACATAAACAAAATACAGCAAAAGTTGTATGACTGCATATCTATTGTCTACAGAATTAGTTAATTTTCTCCCGTAAACATTAAGAAGTGTTAGAACATTATAACTACAACGTCTGTTAGGAAGCGTATATTACAGAGGGAGCTAAACACATTACCTCTAGCATAGCCGCAGCGGTGAGATGCGGTCGCAACACCCGCGCGTAGCAGAGGTCGAGCCCTCGGCTGCCGAGCGTGGCACTGACGGAGTGCTCCTCGCCAGCCCAGCGCGCCGCCGCGGACGTCGCGGTCAACTCAGGCGCGCGTCCTCGACCAACCACCTCCGCACCCAGCGATATACGTTCTGTTACTGCCTGCAGGGTTTGGGATAAAAATTTAAGAACAAAAACAATAACAGAAATAGGATCTCGCAATATTATGTGATGGTACTTCTGTTACTTTTCTAAATGCCTATAATAAAGACATACAACAGAGATACTAAATAACTAATGTTTCAAAACAGCATGTCTTACAAACCTGTAAGAAATGTATTGCAATAAATTCTCTATTTACAGCAATGACAGAAGCAGTAAAACTGTTAAAATATGCATCCACGATACTTTCGAAGCTGTCGAATTTTCCGTTAGCAATTTGTGCAACAACAGTGGCTCGAGTGGTTTGCGTCGGACTCACGCGGAACTCGCAACTCATCTGACCACCAGGTGCCGTTTCCATCACGAAATAAGGCAAACCAGTAGGTTTATCTTTGTCCAAGTACGATAATAGGACCTTGTAACCGCCAGGAGAAACTGAGCTAAATGACAAAGAATGCCCAAAAATCCAATTACTAGCGGAACTCTGTTTGACCGAGACGCAAGCGCCTTCAAAGCATTGCGGTAATCTATATCGAGCGGCATTGTGTAAATGTCGTAGTAGTCCCGGATTAATTGCACCAGCGGACAAATAGTTGGAGCTTTTTTCGGTTTCTCTGTTTTCACTTCTAGAACCTGTGACACCAGCTCCGGTCTTACCACGATCGCTGACAGTACTCGCTGAAGGTTTCGTAGGATTACAAGAGCAATCAGACAACGCTGAAGCATCACCTCCTCCACGCTTTCCTGTATTTTTTTTTGGAGGACATGGATTTGAATTTGAACTTTTGGCATGAAGAGTTTCAAAAAAGGTTATTTTAAAAAGATTTGATAGTAACCATGAGGTGTTATCCATTACTAAATTAAATATATAAAGTAAATAAAATACAAAAGTTTATTGAAAATGTTACTATGGTTATGTCCTAAATGACAAACCAAGACTTCACATTTTCTCAAAATATATTTTTTCATAGATCGTTTAATTTATGGTTTTTTTATTCTATGAAATGTAATCACTAAACATGACATTTATTTTGACACTGACATTAATTTACTTAATGACGAATTTTATACGTCATTCGTACGTCACTGAGGCGCTAATCAAGGGGTTTTTTCTCTTTTAAAATATACATTTTATAAAATTCCGCATAAATCTATAAAATATTGTCATGGCCGCTATAGGCGCAAAATTTTTTGAGATCTTTCGTAATTTGAAATCTGATGCAGTGCCCCGACCTCCGCGACCCGAAGCTGAAGAAGTTTTCAGTGATAATGATAACAGAGACAACGAAAACGAATTTAATGATAATGGAGAACATGAAGACATCGATGCTGATGTACCGAAAAAAGAAAAGAAAAAGACGCCATTCAACAACAATTTCTTTAAACCTAGTAAAAAAAAGAAGAGCACATTTGGATCGCCCCCAAAGGAGGACAAAGAACATAAACACAGTAACAACAACGTCAATGTTCAAGGTTTGTTTTTAAATTTTATAGTATTTTTACATTTTGTACTGCTAATATAAATAACAAAGTATGAAATTGCAACTTAGTATTTCAACAAATTAAAATCAAGTCATGGCAGATATGAATCATTACAATCGTAATAAGTTTGTTTTACTGTCAACAGCAACTGGAAATGTAATCAACATAGTAAATTCTCGAGATGTGCATTGGGGTAATGAAATTGTTTATTACATGGGTCCGACTAATGTTCAGCAGAAACAAGCCAAAGAGGATGTAGAATACATTGAAAAGAGTAACATTATCATGCTTCTTATGGAAGCAACAAGCCAGGTAAGTCTGATTTAAAATTATTGTGTTTGTTAGTAATAGTTCCACATACTAAAAAGGGTGGATTTTAAGTTTTTACACTATTTTTTCTTCTCAATTATGTTGTATGACTACATAATTTCTAGTCAAAAAATATGCATTCTTCTCTTAGTATATTCTAACATTTCAGACTAATTTATCACATGACTGTAACGACAGTCTTTTTTCCTTAAAAAATTTGATGCAGTTTTACTTTATCATTACAGCCTAATCATGAATATATAGATTACATATCAAAGAACCTTGGTAAAAACTGGCACAGTGTTTTTATAGCACTTGGATATAGCAAGAATAGAATTGAAACATTTGAAATAGACGAAGCTGGTAAAGGTATATCTGAGGTATGTTCAATTTTGAATTTTCAGTAATTAGTAACTACCCATAATTGTAACACATATTTTTCTAGTTTAAAAGACACTACAACTTTTAAATTTGAGCTAAATTGTGTTATGCCCATATAGGTATACAATCAAAAGGAGATAAGTGAAAAACCTCCATAAGTGAGAATTATTATTTGGACCTCATGGACAACTTTTATATGCAAGAAAATATTGTGGTCCCTTGAACTCATGCTTATCCAGGTTCAACTATAATATAAACAAACCAAATAATGACATAATTCAGATTAAACTATCAATTATTGTTTTATCTTTGTTATAATTATATCTAGTTGATTAAAATTTAAATATCATTAAAACTAAGAATATAACAAACAACAAAACATTGTAAATATTTAGAATAGAATAGTTTATTGAAAAAACAAAAGATTAACAATTACAATGACAGTTATAACAACTTAAAGCTAATTACAATTTGTGGTTAGTACATTCAATCTGGTGATGGCCACACTAGGCAATGCCTGTATTGTGGGCACCGATATTCAGCAGTAACAATGTTTCCTTACAGTAATTACTAAAATCCTATGTTTACCGCGTTTCGGTATTATTTATGAATTACATATTATATGTTATATATAAAACATTTCACTTTTAGGTTCGTTATAAACTTCTATTGGATTGGGTACGAAATGATGATGATGGGACATTAGGGAAGCTTTCAACTCAACTCTGGGAAGAAGGAGAAAGACAGTTGGTTAAAGAACTGGCCATCATGTACAAGAACAAGAAATAAACAACAACGGAATAAGCATTTAATAGTCAATTTAATAATAATTAAGAAAATGTGATGCTATACAATTTTTTAATAGACAATTATAGTCTATGATGTATCCGTCTGTGATTTAAGAACAAAAACGTTAAACGTTTCAAAATTTTTCGTAGTTTAATATTTTTTTAAATATTTTCGGCTACATTAATCTTTGCTATTTTACATACTAATATATTAAATGTTTATATCTATCTTTTTGATATGCTTAACACATTTATTGCTTGCTTTTATTGTATGGAATTGAAGTTGCAGGTGATTTGGTGCCTTTGAGGCAATTTTTAAATTTCTAATTGAATTACTGTCTATTGATGTGTGGCCATATTTTACCGTTTTAGAATGGTAGGTTTATAGTTTTTTTTAACATTTGAAATGATTTTCAAAACTATATGAAAAAGACAGTTTGGTACAGGTAGCCGTTTCTGAAACGTGCTGGGTGTTGCAAATATTTAGTAATTTTTTTTTTGTATATTTTCTTAAAAAACGTAATTTTTTTTCTTTATGTACATTTATTATAGGATTTTTTTAATAGAGATTGTTATTAGTTGCTAGTATATATGTGCTAAAATAATTAGCTGTGATTGTATATGGGGCCTATATTTAAGAACAATTAATAACAATTATGTGTTGTATCTAATTTCTAGGTAATTATACCAATGCTATGTACATAAGTTTAAATGTTTTATGTATTGGGGTTTATATACAAATCGATTTCATTATAACCTCATTTAGCTCAGCTGAATTTGGCAAATTAGATGTGATTAAAATGTATTATGAAGTAAAAAATACACAATAATTAAGACTGCATTGTAAAAAATATTCATATTTGTTGATAAATAAATAACAGGATAATACAATTTTTAAATATAAATGGTCAAAGTTTCACATAAAGTGCCTATAATATTTTTTCTCAAAAATCAAAGATAGAAATTGATAACTGGTAACAATGACAATAATCAAAAACATAGCATTAGGACTATAGAGCTTTTAATAGATTAAGAATGTACAATATTTACATGAATTTACTTATATTTTCATAATGGTGTATATTAAAAAGTTACTTACAAACAAAATCTTTTAATTGTATATTAAACTAATCTAAATTAATTTTTGTTTGGTCTGCCGAACCTTACACAACCACATATCCTAGTGTTACAAAAATACTGCCCTCATCATCTACGGGAGAAAACCTAGATAGCCATCTGTTCTGTTTTGCTTTTCGTGGCTTCAAATCCAGTCAAAATTCGCGCCAAAAGTTACGCTCCTGTATTCAGTCCACGATAAATTCGCTAACAATTGGATAAACTACATTAATTATGCATCTTTATGTTAATGTTTAAAAACTTGATAACGTATTCACGAAATGAATGAGGTTATCTGAGAGCAATGAGACGTTTGCGGGGTAGTGAGCACAGTTGCGAGTTGATACTGCGCTGAGATGCCCGTGCCCGATAGAACCGGATTGAAGATCGTTGACATCGATGTCAAAGACGTAAGGTTTCCTACGTCGCTTGGAGGACACGGATCTGATGCTTTGGTAAACACATAATTTAACTTATCATAGTTATTTTTACAGCTTATTAAAGTCTAATAAGAATTTGGTCCTGTTTAATAAATGCCTTTGTATTTTTGTATTACCTACTTACATGCAATTAGCATACGAATTTGTAACAGTAACGTGACGAAATATAAACATACGAGTACTGTTTTCGGTATTTAAATACAAATTATGTTTGTAATAAATACCTACCAGTTATAGATGTTGAAATATTTCTTTTAACGAACTATACGAACGTATTCTGTGTGTAACTGTTTATATTGTTAATTTTTTTTATCTCTTTATTATTGGAAAACAAAGATTGCAGTATGTTTTAAAATATTTTTTTCAGCACACCGATCCAAATTACTCGTGTGCTTACGTCACAATTACAACAGAGAAGGGAAGCAAGGGCTATGGGTTAACGTTCACCTGTGGACGGGGCACCGAGGTGGTCGTCTACACTATCAGGTCTCTAAAGAAGTTCATCCTGGGCAAGAATGCAGCGGATATATTCGCTGACTTTGCTGGCTTTTGGCGCGCCATTACAAATGACTCACAAATGAGATGGGTTAGTGTTTAGTATAAAAGTTAAGCATACAAAAAGATTTTAGCACTGTTCACAGCAACATTACTTTCAGTTCCATCATAGTCTTCACATTTTTTTTAAATGGTTGTAATATTGAATTTGTATTTAGTTATTATTATTTGTAGATTGGACCAGAGAAGGGTGTAATTCACTTAGCGGTGGCAGCCATTTTAAATGCCCTATGGGACCTTTGGGCTAGGTTAGAGAATAAGCCTGTGTGGAGATTGTTAATAGACATGGAACCAGAGGTAAAGTTTCTTAAATAATTTTTGGAATACGTAACTCGCCTTCTTTTGCTGGATTTTATACTTAAAATTAATATAAATCTATACCGTGAGTTCTAGTTGGAAACCTGAATCGATCTCGAGTGTTCATAATAAAAAGTATACCACTTAAATATGCTGTGATAACATATCACAATTTCACGTAATATGTTTACTTTGAAGCTATTCTTTTTGAATGTTAAATTGAGGGTTTGAGAGTTATCAAGAACAAACATTGTTATCAACATTATGATTATAGGAGCTCGTGTCAACAATCGATTTCCGTTACATAACCGATGTTATAACTAAAGAAGAAGCAATACAATTGCTTAAAGATAAGAAGAGTGGCAAACAGGAAAGGGTCAAATATTTAGAGGAAAATGGATATCCAGCGTACACTACACAAGTTGGTAAGGCGTCGTGATAGCTTAATTTTTCATACCGTCATTAAAGCTATTTGTTTTAAAAAATCTATAAAACTAAAGGCCAATATAAACGCAAAATTTTATGTCTATGTCGCACGGCGCATGTTTCGATATTTTAACAATAGATTAGGTTTTTTATGTATTTTATTGTTAGTTTGTTTTATTAATTAAGGTTGGCTGGGCTACAGCGATGAAACGGTGAAAGAACTATGCGAAAAATATATGAAACTTGGCTTCACACATTTCAAAGTTAAAGTCGGTGTGAACTTAGAAGAGGATTACAGAAGATGCAGTCAAGTCCGGACATATATTGGCAAGGATAAGTTCTTGGTAAGTAGCAACGTTGAACTGATCTTTTTTAGATTAAAGGTTAGCGCACACTCGTCAACGAGTCCCCCGATCTCGCGATGATTCATGACGTATCGTTTTGCTAACAAAATATATTTATCTCGTAAAATGATTTTATTCCACAGATGGTTGATTCAAACCAAGCTTGGAGTGTTAACGAAGCTATTGAATGGATGAAGAAACTAGCGCCATTGCAAATATTATGGATCGAGGAACCAACTTCACCCGACGATGTTTTGGGGCACGCAACAATTTCTCAAGCGTTAAGGTATACTATGTTAAGTTTTCTCATGTTTAATATGTCCTTTTTTTAAGCCGTTTTATGCCTCTGTGGTTTTAACAGTCTACTCCCAAGGGAATCGGCAGAACTGAAAATTTACGAGACCATATGACAAGTTTTTTTATATTCCTGGTCGGGCTATAATGAGTATGGTCTTTGTATATCAGGCCGTACGGTATCGGTGTGGCAACGGGCGAGATGTGCGCGAACCGCGTCATGTTCAAGCAGTTCCTGCAGAGCGGGGGTATGCAGTTCTGTCAGATCGACTCCGCGCGCATCGGCGGCATTAATGAAATACTAGCCGTCTACTTGATGGCTTACAAATTCAATGGTATACTGAATTTAACAATTTCCTCTTCTAAAATGTTATATAATAAACAAAAAGGTTTGAATTTTATCGCCAGCTCACTATACGTCCCATTTGAGGGGCTCAGAGCCTACCTCTAGGGTGACCTCTAGTCAACCATGATGGCTCAATGCGGGTTGACTTCACACATATCTTTGTTTTCTACGCTATAAGTGCAGGCATCACGATGTTTACCTTCCACCCTTAGAACGTCAGGTATGTACGTACATAACGTATGAAATTCGATAACCAAAAATCACATTGGTACAGGGCGGGATTCGAACCCAGAACCTATTAAAAGTCAAGTGCTTAAACCCCTGAGCCACAGAGCTCTTTAATTTAACGAGAGAATATTACTTGCCTCATCAGTTAGTGTTAAAATGTTCACACACGTATGTCGGTTTTTTGTAATCGTATTAGTGTTCGAATGTTTTACAGTGAAAGTGTGTCCGCACGCGGGCGGAGTGGGTCTGTGCGAGATGGTACAGCACTTGCAGTACTGGGACTACGCGGCGCTGTCCGCTACTATGGAAGGTCGCCTCATTGAGTACGTCGACCAACAACACGAACACTTCTACGACCCTACTAACGTACAGAACGCAAGATATCTCGCACCTCAAGTAAGTTTACACAATTTATATATAAAACAAAGCTTCCCGCTGTCTGCCCATATGATCTTCGGAATTTGATGCAGTTTTTTTTAATAGAGTAATTCATGAGGAAGGTTTTTACGGATACTGATAATTTTATAGGTTTATTATGCGGTGTAAACATTTACGTATCAGTATTGAACCCGTCCGACGCCGGGGCGGGACGCTAGTCAATTACAATTCAACTTTTTTCTTCTTAAATGTATTTTTACGATTTTTGATTGCCTTTCACAATGCCTCAGTTACTTATTGTTTAGTTAAATTTCACTAAATATAACTAAAATAAGTCCAAAAAACTGAATGAATAATGTTAAGTTTGCTATAATCTAAATTTTATTCCTAGTTACCTGGATACAGTACGCAATTCCTGCCAGAAACACTGAAGAAGTACACGTACCCCGCCGGCAGCGAATGGCAGAGGATGTTCAAAGAAGGCATATTCCCTCCACCTGATGAAACTGAACTAGCAAATGTTTGAATAAACATGCACTTTTTATTATCTATTTTTGAGTGTTTATTGATACTGGATTCAAACGTAATAATGTAAGTAATAACGCATTTTTAATTTTACTGAAGAATATATTTTCAATGTAATTTTTTCAACATGAATAGAAATAGAATGCATGTAATGTTTTATTGTATTTTATTTAACTTTATTTACATACACTAATTGTTATAAAAAATATTTAAATACTTAACTATACCAGTCACTATACTTAACAAAATTATTTAAAGAAAATTATTCTGTTTTATTCTTACAAAGTTTTAAAACAGTTCTATTGAAAAAATCTAATGAGTTTTTCTTATAAATCTTATATAACAACAATACCACATTTTAATTTTTTTTACATAATTGATCTTGTCATTAAATATAAAAATCTTTTTACAATAAAATTAATAAATTATAAAATCTAATCTATGGTCATTTTTTCTGAAAGGCAAAAGCGCTGAGTTTTGATTGCTTAGGGGCGTTAACCGGTGATCCATCGGTGGAATCTTCCAGTTTCCTCTTTTGTGGACCTTCAGGTACATTCTGTATGCTCTTGAACATCCTGACTCCTTGGCGGGTCAGCTCTGAAGGTGTCAGCTCCGGATGCTGTTCTTCCAGTGTACTTTTGTTACGTGAGAACCAGATAACAAAGGTTTCACCTTCCAGCGGTGTTAAAGGCTGGACAAAGAAACATTTTATAAGAGCGAGCACATCTTTGACTAAACTATCGCCCAATTGTTACTATTCGATTTTCAGTTGTGCAACTAAACAGTTGAATTGGAAAACAATCGACAATCGCACAACTATTATGCGATTATTTAGTCAAATGTGTGCTCCCGCTCTAAGTCATACTCATCTTGACAAGTATGGAAAGAGGAAGTGGATTTGACAGAGTAATGTATAGGAAGAGATATCTTTCTGTGCTTCGCTTCTGTGGATTAAATGTAACACATCTGTAATTAGAGATGTCTATGGAAACGAACATCATCATCATCATCATCACCAGCTCACTATATGTCCCCACCGAGGGGCTCGGAGCCTACCCTAATATTAGGGTGACTAGGCCATAGTCAACCACGCTGGCCAAGTGCGGGTTGGTTGACTTCACACATATCTTTGAATTTCTTCGCGGATATGTGCGGGTTGCATCACGATGTTTTCCTTCACCGTAAGAACGTCGGGTAAATTATGTACATATGAAAATTCGAAAAATCGAAAATCACATTGGTACATGGCGGCGGGATTCGAACCCAAGACCTGTAGATTACAAGTCAAGTGCTTAAACCACTGAGCCACCGACGCTCCTGGAAACGATCGCTTCTTCGCTATTTTAGCGAATTTAGGTGGTCACCTGTTAGTTTCCCATCTTTAAGAAAGTTTTTGTCAAATACAAAAACTAGATAATTAAATGAAAATCATACCATATTAGTTTCTAATATGATAGGATTGTTTTTATAACGCAATAAAATATGGATAAAGGTATATTTTTTAAACCCATTAAAGTAAAAAAAAATTACTTACATCATTATTCTCTGTGCTTTCCGGGTTCGTGTGAACCTCAACTAAAGTCCTGTCCGTTAAACTCAATGGATTCTGTGCACTTTTGATAGTATCTTGTTGTTTTCTGAAAGGATTCCTTTTGCCCATAGGTGATGATTTTATTGGCTGAAATAAAGAAAAAATAATTATTATCTATTCTTAATATAACTAAGCTTACATATTTTTCTTAGTTATATGTTGTTTTTGAATTAATATCTTCTATAAGAAGCCCTACACTTACGATGTTTTTGCCTATAATTATTTCGCGTTCGAAAAAATATCTCTGCAAGAAAGGGACAAAAACTACAAGCCTGCAAAAAGCAAGGTTGCCATGGTTACTTGAACTGTCAGCCTTCACAACACGCCTTCACAATCATTTGAATTTTGATATTCGCGAAAGTTTTACAGAATGTAAACAATAGTATTGTTTTTAAATGTCTAAATGCTGGGTTTCTGAAGTTTCCATTTTATTACTTAGCGATTCATTAGTGTAAGGTTGACCTAAGTTTTAAAGAAAACTCAAGTTACGTAACTCGGAAACGCATTTATGAATTTAACCAAAATTACTAACGAATAGTAAAACTTTCATAAATCAACCAATAAACATTAACGAATAATGAAACTTAGCTGGAAAATCGGTCATTACATAAAAAAAAATATTTATAGACCAAATTTTAGTGTCTTTTTTTAATTACGACAAAGTACTCACCACTGGTTTAATAGGTACACTATCAACTTTCTTTTTAATTCTCTGAGGTATGATAATACTGGAATTGATCTCCTCTTGTGTGTCGTTCGTCTGCGACTCCAACTCTTGGAAGTGTGTGTGAGCTACAACCAGCTCAGCCTCACGCCATCTGTCGGCCAGGTCTGACAACTTGTCAGCTAAGTGCACACGACCTAAGCGAGACGCGTATTTAGCTGCTAATGGCAGCAACTTCTCATCTTTCAATAGTTCCATCAGTTCTAACCCTCTTTGTTCGATCTCACTGCGACACGCCAACTAAAGGAATAAAAAATTAAAACATACTTATATTAACTAGCTTTCGCTCGCGAACCGACTCGCTCTACATCAGTGCCTTTCATTGAGATCCGTTCAGCAGTTTAGGCTACACTAATATCCGTCCAGTTTCGCATTTATAATATTAGTAAGATGTGAAAGTTTGTATAGATATTATGTATCTACAAAATGGTTTAAAAGATTAAATTACAGGTGTAAAATTATATCTGGAATATAGGCTAATTTTGGCAGGATAGTCGCCGGCAAAAGCTAGTTGAACATACTTCCAAGTTACAACTTAAATATTTTGTCAATAGAAAAATTCACTTTTTTCGGGAAAATTCGTTTACATTTTAGTATTTTTCTGAGAAAATTACATGAACATAGAACATAAATAACCATAATACTGTAACATTACACTTTATTTCACAATACAGAATTTCTGATAAAGAAAATTGGTTTTCCCTTATTTAATTTAAATTAGCTACAGTAGAATCTCTATAACTTCAAAAAATAATATGTTCCCTTCCCATCAGAGCACGAAACCTCTACATAGACCCTTGATAACTTAAAAACTTAATAACTTAAATTATTTTGTGTTTCCTTTGGACTATAACTTATCGAGGTTCTACTGTATTAGAATTGAGTTAAGAAGATTAAATCGTGACGCAAAGAATGTTGGCATAAATTGTAAAACGGTAGCCACTAGATAGAAGTGGAAAAAATTGCTTGACCAAGCCAAGGCCTACAAAGGGCTATAGAGCTAAGAAAGAAGAAGAAGAAGATTTGAATTAAGGTATAAAATAATACATACAGCAAATAACTTGAGAGCGGTCTCTCTAGCAGCCTTGACGTCGACATCAGCGGCGCAGTGCGCCCACCGCACCAGCTGCTCCTCGTACTGCGACTTCTCACTCTCCACCTCGCACACTGGTATCTATTCATTTTATTTACATACATTAGAAAAATTAAAAAATCGCATACAAAACTCGTGATAACCATACTAAAAAGCACTCGGTACTATATTTTCCTTAAGATAATGTATTATGACAAAATTAAAAATCCACTTCTAAACGGGAGATTCGACTTTTAATAGGCTTATTTAAAAATAACTCAAAAACTACTAAATAGCTTTTAATGTTGAAAAAAATAGTTCCAATGGCAGCTATTCCTATCAAACAAAAAATAAACCTCCATTTTGAAATCGGTTAAAACGAAAGTAACCTAATTTTTTTTTCAAATTTCCGTGGAATTCTTCGTAAAATATGCTATATGTTGCGTAATTGAGTTTTTAACAACCGTCATTGAAATATTAATTTGTATAATAAAATGATGAACTTACTTGCAATGGTATTTCAGTAACAATAGGTCTTGGAACAGTAAGAGGATAAGAAGTACCTCTGCAGAGAATCACTCTCACTGTTTGTGTAGGCTCGCTTATCTGAAAATCACAATTAAATATAGCACAATCTAGTATTTAAATATACCTTTGTAGTTAACAATCTAGAATTCCATAACACATGTGTATTTCAATCTAGAATTTTAATACACCTGTGTAGTGCAATCTAGAATTTCAATATACCGGTTTAGTTCAATCTAAAATTTTATTTTACCTGTGTAGTATAATGGAGAATTTTATTTCACCTGTGTAGAGCAATCTAGAATTTTATTTCAGCTGTGTAGTGCAATTTAAAATTTTAATATAGTATAATCTAGAATTTTTATACACCTGTTTAGTTAAACATAAAATTTTAATTCACCTGTGTAGTACAATCTAGAATTTCAATATACCTGTGTCGTGCAATCTAGAATTGTAATACACCCGTGTAATGCAATCAAAAATTTTAATACACATATATAGCTAATACTCACAGACACAATAAACCAGGAATCAGAGGCGCCTTTAGCGTGAGTATTGATGTCACACACAGGTATCCAAATGCCACTGGCAATGTCATAGAGGCGCAGTACGCCAGCGGTGTCATACGTGCACGGCGAGCCTACGTCCGTGCAGCCCAGCCACGCTAATCTAGACCCTGGCGTTAATGGTAGATGGACTGTTTTGCTTCGTACTTGTCGACCTGAAAATATAGGGTTTTTATTCACTTTTTAGAAGTTAAATTATATTTTAGGAAAATTCGAGTTTGTAATCTATATTGTCTAATTGGATACGAATTCTTTATTTTTCGTTGGTCAAGAAATTGACACAGATTATTTTTTTTTAAATTATTAGAAATATTGAGGTGAAAAAATACCGTTTAGAGCTATGATATCCATCGCGAGATGCTGGTCGGACAATCCCGGGTCCGTGCTGTGGTATACGGCGAGGATTGTCGTGTTGAATCCTGATAATGCCACCGCTGGCCCCGGTAATGAGATTACCTAGGTAAAATCAAATAAAGGGTGTTTATACACATTATTCCCAGGCAACAATGAATCTATTTCATTACAATAAAATAATTTACTTGATTGTGGGTGGAAAACTGTTTTTTTTTTTTTTAATAACAGGGGGCAAATGAGCGGCGAGAACACCGCGGTGGTCAGCGACGCCCATGGACATCCGCAACACCAGAGGAACTAAACAAACTAACAGTTTTTTTTCTGTGATATGTTCTAATTTTTTTTTCAATAACAAGGCTCTTTATTAACGTGCTATAGTCAAATTAAATACATCTGTGTAGTGATAAAGTTTTGAGAGGGATTTTTATTCTACAAATATATACCTGTCTTTGCGTGCCCATGGTAGTGAAGAGTCGTAACAGTCGTGCGTCAGTGGCGCAGGCGACGAGCGCGCTGCTCGCCGACACGCATAAGATCTCTTCTGTATCCGGCATTGCAATACTCCATTCCTTACTACTACCCATCAACGATATACATACTAGTTTACTGTAAACAATTAAAAAAATATGAGGTAAGGTCTGAATTTTTAAATAGATTTGATAGTTTTTTTTAAGAAGCTTTATTGTAAAATAAAATTGAAAAGGAACATTAAATTAAAGATTTAAATTTCCAAAGTAATTAAAAACAAGTTGTTTCTTTAAGAGGAACAGCAATTTAAATTAAAAAAAATAATGTGAGTAATTAGCAGTAAGGTAACTCTTATAGAGTATAACCTTTACCACCAACATTCTATTTATTTAAAATTGTTTTCTTTTTGTATAAAAATTTAAATAAATGAATATTAGATTTTTTATAATTACTTTTAAAAACATAAATAAAACCTTACCTAGGTGTCTCACAAGCCAGAGCTAAAACTGTAGAGGATAAACTGGCCATTGTATGGTTCAAATAGTTATTTAAATTAATTCCATGATGCAAACTGGAGTCATGAAACTCAATGTCGATACTCGACTCCCCATTCTCCGCAGTGTGGCATCTCACTATACCAACATCATTCCAACACATATATCTAGAAAGGAATGGTAAAAGAAATTGTTTTATTAAAAAAGGACAAAATATAGAAGTATATACGTTAATTCGGAACAACAAAGGCTTTGCTATTTGGCAAATTCAAGAGACTACTTGCTCATTTGCCTCTTTCTTAAATTATACCAAAAAAAAAATATTCCGATGGTTAATTGTAATTACACTACATTGTGTTAATAATTTGTCTTTCCATTTCATCAAAAGTTAAGCAAATTTATTAAAAAAAAGAAACAGAAAACATATTTTGTTATAAAATTGTTGAATCATAATAGGCATAATTTGATACAGTAGGAACTGCGTTTTGTAACTAATATTATAAAGAGGAAAGATTTGTACGTTTGAATGTATTGAAATAACTCAAAAACTACTGGGCAGACTTCAAAAATTCTTTCACCATTAGATGTAGCCTACATTATGGCTGAATAACATGAATAACAATATATGTTAAATTTCACATGGACGATACTGCGGGCAACAATTAGTTATAAAGTGTTATACCTGTGCTCCAAGTGTGCGGGCGTGGCGGAGGGCTGGAAGGGCGGCTGCGGGGGCACGCCGGCCGGCGCGGGCGCCGCCAGCTGCGACTGAGGACGAAACTCCTCCGTGTGCAATCCGAGAGTCTCGTTCTTTAACTTCTCCAATGATATTGCGTTATCATCATCACTCTCATAGTTATGTATTAGATTATCTACTAGTTCCTCATTATCTGCAAATATAGTACATATAATAAAACTAACAAACTAGATTAGTAGATATCTATAGCCCAATATCTGTGGATATCGAAAATTAAGTTATTATTTTATTAAATTATAAATTATGTTCAGTTTTGACAGTTTTAACTGAAAAGTCGAACTGTTCAGTACAAAAAGTAACTGAACAGTTAAAATTTTATCTATACATACTGTTTTAACTGAATGGTTCAACTTTTTAGTTAAAATTTAACATATGTAGCTGTTCTGATGTATATTAAGATTGATTCCTCGAGTTAAAAATTTAGCAATGTATAATGTAAATAAAATCTTACCATCTTTCTCTACCATTTCAACATCTTCAGAATCACCATTTACTTTACTACTGTCTTGTCCATAACAGTTCACTAGCATTCCCAATTGACCAGCAATATCACAATATGCTAGTACCCCATTACCTGTTATAAACACAATAATGTAACTCAAGTCATAACCCAGAGGGGTAGTCAGAGACTATGCACTTCTATTTGGCTGACCTTTCTCACTACTACATTCTTACATCTACAAATATATGTGAGGGTTGTCTTAATACCAATCTTATTGAGTAATCTATCATATTGGATGGTACAAGTATATTATAAAATCTCTTATCTTACTAATATTGTAAATACGTAAGTTTAAATAGATGATGTTTGCTAATTTGTAGCCTTAATACATAAACTAATCTTGATGAAATTTGACAAAATTGTAGAGCATAGTCTGGAAGAACACATAGGCTATTTCATTTTAATTCAATGCTGAAGGAGTTGCGGGCAACTGCTCATAGTCAATATTAGTTCTAATAATTCTTGTACTAACCTTTGGGACTCCAAGCCATAGCTGATACATTATGTGATGTTGGATGTTCAATAATGCCTATACAAGTGCCAGTTTGTACTGCCCATACAGCTATCTGACCAGCAACTGTACTCCCGGCTATGTACTGACCACAGGGGGAGAAAAGGCATTGGGAAATTGCACATTTTATCTGAAAAAAAAAAACAATACATACATACATACATAACAAGAGATAGAGAATTAATACTGGGTTTCATTTATAAGATAATTTAAAATGTTCTTTAACCAATTTTTTTTGTTATTAAACATTATATTACCTACCAAACTATGTGTAAAAGTAAGCCTTTGTCCCCAACTTTCACAGTCCAGTAATATTATCTCTCTATTACTTGGATAAGCCAAATACTTTCCTTCTGATGGCTCGAAACTTATTCGACCTACAAAAAAAAACAACAAAACATTTTACATAAGAAATTAATAGAGTAAACAAAAAACAAATTTATAAATTTGAATTCAATATTAAAAAGCCTTACATAATACTTTTGCTGCATAGAAAGTGTTTATTTTAGGCACACAGGTTACTTCCTTGACAACTTTCTGTGTATCTATGTCCCATATTCTTAACAACTCATCTCCACAAGCAGTAGCCGCATACTTCATATGGGGACATATGGCAACACTCAGCACTGGACCCTTGTGTTCAGTCATTACAAATAAGGGAGCACCGCCTTCCAAGTTACAAATTTTAGCCTCCATGTTCTCTGAACAACAACCCAATACCTAGAGAAATATTTCATGTATGAATAACTCTTTACTTAAAAGTTTTATGTAATGAATGTCAATCATTATTTCTATTTTTTTCATATTTCATATTTCATCATATTTCTACTTTGTCATATAACTTTAACCATAAGTAATAAATGTAATACATAATTAAGTCATTTTTCTTTTTTTCTATCTATTAGAGACCATATTTAAAAAATACAGGAAAAGAATAAAGTTTTTTCGTACCTCAATTTGCGGTGATGACATAATTTGAGTGACTGGTGCTGTAAATCTGGTGACAATACCATCTTTGTCAAATGCTGGGAAAGTATATGCTTGAACTGCATGGTTGTCATTTGCCACATATAATCTTTTATCCTTAAAACACACGGCGAGCGCGCTTTCCCCGACACAGTGGGAGTTTGGGTCGTCGTCTTCAATACCAAGCCAAATCCGTACATCACCATCGTGTCCACACGTTATTATGTGCCTAAAAATAGCAGCATATATTCACGTTACATACTTTTTTTATTAGAATTTAGATAACAATCAAATATAAAAAGTTTTTAAATCAAATCAACTTACTGTCCATCTTCAGAAAAACATACATCTGTGTGTCCTTCAGCATGAGCGTACCTTAAAGGCTTACTTTCAATTTTCATTTTTACTTAAATCAAAAGAAAATAATTACAAAATCACACAATTTACTTTCTTACTAATTTATTTATTTGCTATAATACAAACATCTCACAGGTTAATCAGTGTCATAATTTGGCGCGAACTTTGACTATTGACAGTTGACAGCGTACATTGACAGGTGCAGTCGCGGCAAGACTTTTAACCACAGATGTTATATCTTTCGAATTTTAACTACTTTTAATGATTTTAATCTTTTCAAAAAGTAATTTCACGAAATAAATAGGATTATTGACATAAAAAGAAAAATAAACCAGCATGAATGACCATGTGAGACAATAAAATTACCAAGAAATTCGGTCGAGGTGTTAACATCATTATTATCTGTCCTAAACAATTAACTGATGACATGCGCTTATCTATGCTCCTCCAATAATTTGAATTTGAATTTTCTTTTCTTTTTCATTTTCATTCGACACTTTACTTCGGCATTGTCAGTACGTGTCATTGACTTGCTTTCTCGCGTAATTTCGGACTGTGTTTTAATTAATCCATACAATATTAAAACTTCATTGTTTCCAATAAAACAATTGTAATATTTTTTGTGATAATTTAAGGGCACAGTAAGTAAAAAAACCATTTTATTAACTGAAATTTGACACGGTGATGAAAGCGTCGGCACCGGTTACTCTATATTTGATGTATTTGCCAGCAAATTACTTGCAAAAAACGTGTTATAAGAAAAAAATATTGAAATACGTTGAAAATAATTATTTCTGAACGTTATATATATTAATTAAATTTTTAAAGCTTATTTTTATAAAGTGTAATTAAACACCCATAGGCAGTAATTAAACCTCCAGTTCTTATTGAGGTTAAGCATTTTCTACAAGGTCATTTTAATTTCCGACAGACGTTCTTAAATTGATCTTGATTGCGTGTTCAATTAAAGACTTTTTTTTTCAGTTTATCAAATGGCTAGCGAAGGTTTCTTGAACAAAATCCCTGGTTTTGCCACATTAGCAATTCATGCAGGGCAGGATCCTGAAAAATGGAATTCCGCTGCTGTAGTACCACCCATAGTTACATCTACAACATTTAAGCAACCTGCACCTGCGGAACATACTGTAAGTAATTTCACAAGTATATTTTCATAATTTTATATGCATTGATTGGAAAATCTTAATTGCTCAATTGTGTGTAAATATACAAAAAAAAATATAAGCTGTGTAAAGTGTTTTGAAGCAGTCTGATGACATTTGTTGCATCATCTCATCATTCAAATGCAGCTTGCAACACAAATTAATGTTAATTTTTAAATAAAATAAATATTTATTTAAAACAGTGATTTCTTCTTTCAAAAGTTAAAACTTTGTTGTTTTTTTAATTGGCATGAATTAAATATTGATTTTTATTAATACTTTAATTGTATTTAATTTTCTTATAAATGTATTTTTTAACAATGTTCCTATCGGTTTATAACTATGTTATGAAATTTTTAGGGTTTTGAATATGGTAGATCAGGGAATCCTACAAGAAATACACTAGAAGAATGCTTAGCTGCGTTAGACAAAGGGAAACATGCATTAACTTTTGCATCAGGTTTAGGAGCAACAACCACTATTGCCTCTTTACTGAGCAGTGGGGACCATATTGTATCCTGTGATGATGTGTATGGAGGCACAAATAGATTGTTTAGGTAAATATTTAAGGAAAATAACTCCCTTTTGTGATTAGTCATCTTCTTTGTCATTATTTTGGTAGATGACAAAGGAATAAAAGTCACTTGATATTGGTTAAAAGTACTGAATTAACTACTGCCTTGTTTCATTGCTTACTTTTAATGGAGGACGGAATGTACAGTCAGCTGCAAAAATATGTATAAAACTCCAAAAACTTTTATTTTAGAAATTCATATAAATGGATCAATTTATGCTCCTGATCATAAATTACTTTTGACATTGCATACGTTTTTGAGAAACCAAAGGCCTGCACAAGTTTTGTAAATGTAATACATGTTGATGCAGCTGACTGTACATAGAAAATTTCCTATATAAATTGAAGGGTTTTTATTTTTTTTTATTAAAATAAGAGAACTTTTTTTACTTAATTGTCGTAATTGTTACAGACGCGTGTTGGACAGATTAGGTCTGAAAACAACTTTTACTGATTTCACAAATCTAGAATCTGTTAAAAATGCTATCAAAGATAACACAAAGGTAATTAAAATATTCCTTATCATAGAACACAACACCTAACTCACAGTGTAACAAGAGTTTAAGACAATTTATTTTAATTAAGTTAAAAATTATAATTAAGTCTGGTATATTGGAAAAACATTTAAAATTAATTCGTAGAAATTCTCAACATTTCTACAGAGGTTCGTATTTGCTTCGCAAGAAATTGAATTATTGCTGGTTTGTTTTGAAAAGCATATCAACTGTTCAGTAATCAATCATTCACAACAACATTTATCGCGAAATCGTTTTATGTTACTCAAATGTTCATAATAATGTTTAAACCATAACAAAATTGTTCGATAAGAATGTTTGTATATAACTGTGCCAAGTATATGTGCAAATTTCGCATACATTAAAAACGTTTAGCAAAGGTTAAGTTTGTGATAACATTACTGATTATAACACATTACAAAAATTAACAACCAAATGTTTATAATAAGGTGATAAGCGCAGCTGTAAAACCATATTTTATTTCTTTTAAATTATTAATAATTTTATAGAGAATTCATCATAGTTTTACGAACGTATGAAGTTCCTATCACAATTCCCGATTACCGATTTCGATTCGATTTTTAAAAATCCACTAATTAAAAAAAAAGTTAAAAAAAAAGCGTCCTCTAAAGGAGAAAAAAATATTTAACTATCTTTTAAAAACCAGTTAAATTAAATTACACGAATATAGTTAATACGATGGTATCTTTCGTAATATTTCCAGTAGTGTAAAATTCTCCCAACTCTGAAGAGGCCTACTTTCGTTGTTAAATGTTTACGTTAAGATAACGGGTGATAAATCTTACAAGATTATATTAAATTTTGTACACCTTAATTATTCATTATTTATTTCTTTGCGTGAAGAAAATGGCAAAAAGGTCATTTAATAACAGCATTTTACAATCCTGTTCAGAGCCCTTACTAGCCTGTTTACCAGCTTTAGGAGGGGGTTAACAGAATTATGTTGCGACACTTTTCAACGTCTGATTCTATTTGTAGATGATTTGGATAGAAACACCAACAAATCCATTGCTGAAAGTGATAGACATAGCCGCGGTGTCGGCGGTGGCCAAGGAGAAGGGCGACATCATAGTGGTGGTCGACAACACCTTCCTAACACCGTACCTGCAGCGGCCTCTCGACTTCGGCGCGGATATCGTCGTGTACTCACTCACAAAGTATATGAACGGACATTCTGACGTCATCATGGGAGCAGCTGTTCTTAACGACGATGCTTTGGAGGAGAGACTTAGATTTTTGCAAAACGGTAAGTTTTTTCCACACTTAACAGGATAGATAAGCAATGTTATATGAAACTGAGGCATAATTGCAGATGATAGATGATAAATTTAAATCCCGCGTGGTTCTTATGTAGCAGATATAAATTTACTAGATATGTTTAGTATGTTTAGCTAGTCCTAGTCAAAAGACAAGTTTAAAAGGGCCCATTATATAATAATAAATTAAAATACAACCGGTTCATTGGTATGCAAACTTAATACGCGAATTTGAGTAGACACACCCACATAAAACAAGTTGCTTCCGAACTTTACAAACCAGCCGTTTTTGCATCGTAATCGCGTCATCGTAATATTATTAGTGTCTTTCCTTATAGGTACAGAGTATTTTTAAACGTACACGGAAAAATACCCATGGGATTAATGTATGATTTGCCCCCAGACAAATTACTCACGTCTAAATAAATTTTACAGCCTGTGATAAGTTTTTTTTTTTAAATATACACTTTTTAATTTCAAATTAACAATGGCGTGATACTTGCTTACAAGTAAACTATTACAAAAATATTACGTGCTTAAATACATTTCTTTTGTTGAACGTAACATCACGTTTGAATACTCTTTTGTTGTCTACTTGTCTTCCCTTTGAAACATTACAATAACTATGTATCCGGCCTATTATTTACACCATGCAATTTAAATTAGGTAATTATTTCATACAATGTGACGCAAGTGAAGTGACGCGTCACCTTTGCCGAGAATATTTCAAGGTCAAATAATTGTTAACGACTACATACTTCCGTTCAAGTTTAAGACAGATCTGATAACAATAGTATAGAAATTTTATACGTATCGCCACTATGGGTTTTTACAAACCACTTTAGTAAAACACAGGTAACAGCTGTTGAACAAATGGGGTCGACTAGGGAAGCCCCAGAAACTCCGAGTATCAAAACACACATGAAGCACAATAAAGCAGTGGTAGCCCGCAATAACATCTGTTGCAAGAATAAGCTGGGTCGCCCGGTGCAATACCACATTACGGAAGACCTGCGTGAAATAGAAGTCATTCCGAGTTACGTCAAATGAGTGTGCCTGCCGTAGTCCTTATTTTAGTCCACTTTTCTTTTCCAACATTTTCTTGAAGTAAAGGATGAGAAGAGATGGATTTGACGAAGGAACGGCCGCATAGGAAAAGGAAATACCCCCTTTCTATGGGTCTCTTTCATTGAAGCGGTCGCTTCGCTATTTTGACAAGTCCTGGTAGTCGCTTGTTTATTAACCACCTTATAATAGAAAAAAGACTTCTCAATTCTATTCACCAGTCCATTCTATTTCTTAAATTTTTCATCTTGACGGTGTTACTAGTTCAAAATTATCGATATTAGTCACTATTAATATGAAAATGTGATATTTATGAATAATGTTGATATAAGTGTTCATAAAATGTAGTGTAAAGCTTTGAATTACGGCTCTATTGTACTTTGATAAACGACTCGACTTATATGATAAATTGATACTAATAATCCTATAAATTATAGAAAGATAATCAATTTTATCTATTGCAAATATTTCATACATTCCCTATTTGAATAACATCTAATTTATATGAGATACGTTTATGTAAATCTATACGAGATTGCGAAACGTAACTAAAACACTGCGGTTAACGTGTTATTTTGTAACATTAGACGTAATTCATGATATCCCAGTTATATACTCTATATCTAATTTATTGTTTCGTTAGATATATTTAAGAGGAGGTTATATAGAATACTTGGAAAACTACTTCAACAATCTAACTAAACCTTTTTAATGTTCATTTAAAAGTTGGTTTTGTGATGGTTAATATTTCTCAAACTGCTTTATAAAGATGATTAAGATAGGATGGAATTTTTAAAATTTAACCTCTAAAACAGACCAAAAATGTTTAAAACACAATACACTAGTAAATGGAAACAATGCGTTCAGTTTTTGTTACGTCATTGCGAGTTCCGGACAAGTGATGACTTGCATAGAAAATGATAATCACATATGTGATTATATTCAAGTGACTCTATAAGTAAATTTCGATATAGTAACAGTCATTTTCCATGATTCATTAACGTCCGCTTGTCTATTTCACAATTTAACACAATATTAACGAAAATTTACTCAGACTTACAGAGGAGTGTTAAATGGTCTCATACATTTGTATTTCTATGTACACAGAAAGATATGTAAAAGAAAATAGAAATAACTAGCTTTTGCCTACGACTCCGTCCGCGTCGTATTAAAAAAAAGTGTTAACAGCCTATCTGTTCTTCCAGAGTGTCTTCTCAACTGAACCACATTTAATTGTAATCCGTTTTGCCGTTTAGACTACAAACTCTAACAAACATCCATCCATCCATCTATCCATCTAAACTTTCGCATTTACAATATTAGTATGATAAGAATGTAGGACCGTAAAACTAGATAGGAATTAACCAATTAAGCCATTGAAGTTTCAAATAGATCGTTAATTGACCTATTTGAACCACTTAAACTCCTGTCTTAGCTTAAGAAACAAAAGTTTAATTTTCAATTTAAATCCTTATCATTAACTTGCCCTTTACTTTATGATTAATTTGTGCCCTAGTTCTCGTATAGCGCGCAAAAAACCCGTATACGATGTACCATTTTAACGTCATTGACATTCCTTGACCTTGTTTCATGAAAGGCTATTCATACCAATGAAGATATAGTTATTATCGCAATAAGGAACGTTAATGAATCATTAAAGGTGCTCCTTAGTGTAGATTTCTGATACCAAAACACTAAGCTAGCTTACTGAACTCTGAGAACAACAATAAATAAAGTTTACTTTTTTAATATTATCGTAATATTGTTACAGCTATGGGCGTGGTACCATCACCTACAGATTGCTATTTCGTGAATAGGAGTCTAAAGACTTTAGCTCTTAGAATGGAACAGCATCAGAAGTCTTCCTACGTAATAGCTAAATGGCTTCAGAATCATCCTAAAGTTACTGAAGTATTACATCCAGGTAAAGTGTAATATGTTTACAATTACATTTTTTAAGGTGTCATGATCCCAACTGACGTGTCTTTTTAAAATCCTTTACTCTTATATTCTTTACAATCTTTTTATTTTTAATTCCCCTCGCATAACTATTGCCCTGACAGCAAAAACTCGTGCGATATTCTGAGCTGTTAAGATGTATGAAAACTTATATTGCATTCTTCTCTTGAACCTATTCGTTTATATTGATTATACGGACAATTAAAATTAAACTCTATTACTATTGCTTTACGCCTTATGTTTGTTAATTTCTAGGTCTGCCAACACATCCACAGTACGCAATAGCACAAAAACAGATGACAGGACACTCGGGTGTGTTCAGTTTCAAGCATGTAGGCGGACTACAGGAGTCCAGGAAGTTTTTGAGTTCGTTGAAATTATTCATCTTGGCAGAAAGTCTCGGTGGATATGAGAGCTTAGCTGAATTACCGTAAGTTGTAAACTATATCTAAATAGGCGATAAATGCTTATTTATATTGAAGTTTATCTGATATGTTTTATTAGACATATTTTATTATTTTCTTTTGTAGTTTACGATTTGAGGGAGGATAACTACTACTACTAATATTTTAAATGCGAAAGTTTGGATGGATGAATGTTTGTTAGAGTTTGTAGCCTAAATGGCTGAATGGATTTCGATGAAATTTGGCATAGATGTAGAACATAGTCAGGAAGAACACATAGGCTTTTTACATTTTTTTTATTTCCACGCAGACGAAATCGCGGGCGAAAGCTAGTTTTTCCATGAATTTAAATCTTTTGTATAACCTTTTTTAAATACAATTACGTTTTGTCCTAACAATAGATGCATTTGTTATCAAATCATGACTAATTAATAAGTTGGATTAGTATGCTAACAAACTTTAATTCCATTTTTTAAATCTTTTGTTGTTATTGTAAAATGCGATTCTTATCTATCTTTGTTATACATATGTACAGACATGATACTCTTAATTGTTGATTATTTCTATTGATATGTAATTACTAAAATGCAATGGTTTTATTTATCTTGCTCTTCATAGTAATGTCTAGTCATCTTGTAATGAACTAATGATTCTGTCGCATTTTTGTAGTCATTTGTTCCGAGTAACAGTTTGGAACTGTGCCAGTTGCTAAGTTGCGTTTTTTCTCCTCCCCAAAATTACGATTACACACTACATAGTTGTAGTTGACATTCCACAAATGTTTTAAGCAGATTTTTTCCTGCAGTATCATGTCTTTTAGGATTCAATATATTAAAACAATTTATTTTATAATCACAAAAAGTTGTTTAAAAAAGTTTATTTGCTTAAAAAATGAGTAACGGTCTTATACGTAGCTCCCGTTAATTTTTGTAACACATGTGAGGTGTAAAAGGAAAGGAGTTCAAATGTTTCATTTTTTTAAATAGGCAAACCTTATTATGCTTAATTTAAAAAAATGGACTGATGCATATTTGTTTTTAAGCCTAGTTCACACTTGGCCAGTAACTTAAATCTCTTATAACTATACTGACCACTGGTATGATGTGAACACTAATTGGTTCTAGTGAGTCCACACAATCCATGCCTGGCTAACTGTTTGATCCAGGCATTATGCGAGGTTCACACTCGGCCAGTACAGTTGATCAGTAGCGTTCAATAACTGGACTCTGGATGAGTCTTGTGAGACTTCAGCAACTGGCACAGTGTGGACGTTAACTGGCACCAGTTACAGCACCGTCGCAATTGTCATGTACTGGCCAAGTGTAAACCGGGCATAATACATCATGTAATAAATATGTGCAGGTCCGTGATGACGCACGCGTCGGTCCCGGAGGAGCAGCGCAACGAGCTCGGCATCACGCACTCCCTCATCAGGCTGTCAGTCGGCCTCGAGGACACGCACGATCTGATTAACGATCTAGATCAAGCTTTCATAGCTGCCTTCTGATTAGGAAATTAAGTTTTTAATAAAATAACTGTAATAGTAATATAATTACTAAGCATTAAATGCAAAGACATTGAAGAAATATATAGACTATACATAGTGAACATTTTTTTCACTGGTAACTTCTTTGTAAGGTCCTATGTTAGTTGTCAAATTACTAATGTACTATGCTTACTCTATGTATTTTTTGAATCTCTTTGATTGAGAAATAACAAGAAATCGTTAATTAAAGGCCAAACTCAATAATCTATCCTTAAATTAATCATAGATTAGTTTTTTTTATTTAGATGTCGATCCTGATTAAAAATGACAAATGACTTGCAAGTCTTAATTATTGTTACTTAAGATAAGTCAGTGTAAATCGTGATTGATTATTGGGTTCTGGGCTTAAAAATCACAAACCTACTGACACTGGGCAAAATTCTGAAAATGACACCTCAAGCTATGAAATTTCTTAGTTTATTGAGGCTGTAGGGGGTCGCAATAAAATTGGGACATTGAAGGTGTTTCCCGTTGGGCCGATCGGCCAAATAGCATTTGTTTCCAATCGAATGCATACAATTAATCGATATTCATTGTGTGGATTCGATCGCCACAATGGGAAAGAACTCATTGGCTCGATCCTTAAAATGATCGGCCCAACGGGAAACACCCTACATTATTTGCCCTCCTTAATTACCTGTCAGTCGAGCAAATAGACAATTTTTTTCCTTTACTATTATAGTTCCTCATTGTATTTATATTTTTATTAAGATAACACTTTGCATTTATTACCTTTTTGAATGTCTACAATCATAGTTTTTTAAACAAATTGTTTCAATTAAATATTTTTAAATCTATATAATGTACAGTAGTTTAAAGAATCCGAGCACATTTATATATTGTTATTATTTACAACCATTTTAAATTATAATTATTTATTCTCTTATTTACAAATCATCGTATAACAAGTGTATAATTCTAAAAATATGTAAAAAAAAACATTTGAAACTAAAATCACAATAGAATGTCAATATATAATGGTTCAAACCACTACGTTATTTTATTTAAAATAACAAATTAACCTATTTGGAATATATGATAATGTTTTCTTTTTTAACTATAATGGTGCTTTTTAGCATAGATCAAGAGGTCACTTGATACAAAGGTTGTTTGTTTTTTAAAAACACATTAACCTACTGTTAGGACTTTAATTGATCTTTATTTATTTATTTTGAATAGAGTTATTTTTTTTTAGTCAGAGATTTTTTAAATCGAAATTATAATTTCGATTTAAAAAATCTCTGACATAACGCTGACTGCGTGTTTAGACAAGAGTTTTTAAATATTTGGGTAATTATTGGCCAGTCCACAATATGTGATTGAAAAAATGATCTTTTTATTTATAGCATTGATTGTAGCGTAATAGTAATATTACAAACTTTTGCTATTAAATTAACGCAGGAGCTAATTATATATTCAATAAAAAATCGTCAATCAATTTTTGGCAGATGTGGATAGTGAATATTCCAATGCTACATTAGTTTAGTTTTGTAATCTTTTATAACTAGATGGGAAAATTGGTAATTTTACTCCTAACTTTCATAAATGTTTACTTCGTTAAAATTGGCTGTGGTATTTTTTGTTCAATAATACATATTCTTATTACAACGTTGATTTTGAACTTCGGATGCCCGCGTGAAAATTATTGCAAATCGTCTAGCACATTTTTATACTCAAGGTCGAGCCCGCGCTCGCAAAAATAGACGAATCTTTAAAAATAGCCAGGGATAAATTTATGTTTCAACAAGTTTCATTGAATCATAACCTAACTGATTTAACTTTTGTATTTTTAAGTTCAAAGACTCTCCCTAAATAGTAAACTTTGTTTGATTATATTGATAAGTCAACTAATACCTACTTAAAAGGACAAAGAAAGACCCCAAGCTATATGCACTAGTGAGGCGACAATTATCGACTCTAGGCAGTGCCGGTTTTGGTTTCATTCTCGCCTCAGGGCAAGCTTTCTCCGGCGATTTATTTAATCATGACTAGGGGTGATAATTTTTATGTGATAGTTCGCGTACCGATGGCGTCCTTTTCTGTTAGGTGCCCTGGACGACAGACCGAGAGAGCGCTACCCTCACGCCGTTTATTATGGGTACATTTAAAGCACAATATGGCAAATAAGCAAACAATGTCACCTAGCATCGCTAAAATAGCGAAGGTGCGTCTGCGCTACCTTTGGAGAGAGGAGAGGATGTGTAAATAAAATTTTCTACTAGCTTTCGCCCGCGACTCCGTATGAGTGAAATTAAAAAAAAAAAACAAAAGCAAGTAGTCTGTGTTCTTTCAGACTATGCCCTGCATCTGTGGAACTGCGAGATCTGTTCAGCAGTATAGGTTACAAACATCTATCCATCCAAACTTTCCCATTTATAATATTAGTAATACTTATTCAAACTACATCCCATACTCTGCTAAATCCATTTTCTCTGCAGCAGCTGAATGACAGCTGAGCGTTGCTGGTGGTTTTTTCCTACAAAAAGGCGAAAAGTTATCTATTTGTAATCATAACGAGGCCAACATTGTTATTAAATACTTGAATGTCCGATAACGATAAACTCATGTGAAACTTATGTAATTTACCATAATCAGTAATCGTTATCCAAAGTGGCCATCTCTTTATTAAGTGTTTTGACATTAGCTGTGTATTATTTGTAGTTTTGTCTCCGTACGTGGTGGGCCTGTGGCTAGCAACATTCGTAAAATAATTAAAAGGTATTTTTATTAATTTTAGGCGTATATTATAATATAGCAAATAAATGGTTTTTGTTATTTTCAGTAACAAAATTATAGGTTAAGTGCAGTAATTTTGAGAGTGAACCAATTAACTTGTGTTTTATTTATATGCATGACAGTAAATTTTATGTTTAAATTCTAAAAACTTGCGACATACAGTCGAGATAAATATTATGTTTTAAAATTTATGGCAAACAGGCAAAATGCTATAATATTGAACACAAACGCAACACGGTGCATCGTCGTTAACCGCGTTGCAGGTTGTTCTGTGTTAAATTCTGTCCGTCAAAGAATAGGCTGCCACTGGCCACCATACATAACTTACCATAGACAACAGTTAGAAATCAATTATTCCTATTAAATTCTGGTTCTGTATTTGCTACAAAAATTATGTATTCAAGCGAGTTAGTATATTTTTATCATTGTATTTGTGCGTATCAGAATAATATATTTGTCTAAACCGCAAAATATAGGTAGTTTTCAATACGTATAGTGTTTTATTGGTGTCTCTACTGTCGTTAAACCTGTATAGCAACAGTAAAACTATCTTTCTCATTTTTTTCAAGCAGAGATATGTCGTATACAGGTGTAAGGACAGTTGAAATTCATGAGAATACCTACATAATAAATGTGAATAAAAAAACTTACTTGAAAATGTTATAAGGGCTTTATTACCATCTTAACCTATATGTACGGTAATATCTAAAGTGATTGAATTGTTTCCAACAGATGACTCTTCGCTGGGGTATCGTTACAGCAGGCAAAATCTGCCATGACTTCGTCAACGCGTTTAATTCGTACCCCAACAAGGGGGACCAGGTCATAGTCGCAGTGGCCGCTCGCGACAAGAGCAAAGCGACGGCATTCGCCAAGACTCATAGCATCGCTAAAGTGTTTGATAGCTATCAGTCTATGGCTGCCAGCAAAGACATCGGTGATTTTTTTATATACCTACACTCGACACATGCTTTCGCGTTTTGTTTTCCACGTCGATATGTGCATTACGATTTTTTTCCTTCAGCGTATATAACAATGTCGTTTAAATATATACATATTCAGATGTATAAGAGACAATAATACAGCCAAGACATTATTGCTCAGAATGTTTGCATCTCTCATTATTTTACTAATTATCCATTGTTTCAGACGTTGTGTACATCGGTGCTTTGAACCCCGACCACTATGAGCTCGCTAAGCTATACCTTGCAAACGGCAAACATGTCCTGTGTGAAAAACCTCTATGCCTTAATTATAAACAGACTGAGAGTCTGATTAGGTTCGCGAAGAAGCAGAACTTATTTTTGATGGAAGCAGTCTGGTCTAGATTCTCACCAGCGTACATTGAGTTGGAAAAGGAAATAAACGCCGGAAAATTGGGAGATATTCAATACGTCGAGGTCAATTTCGGTGTCCCGATCGCTGCCGTCGATAGACTTCGGTAAGGAAAGGATATCTACTTTAAAACAACATTAACAAGATACATAACTGTTTCTTTTATTTTATTCGGAATAATTAACAGCTACATAATATGTATTAACATCCTTAACATATACAGCAAACACACTGTGATTACTTAGCCACAGTGCCGGATTAAGCCAACGAAGGGCCTGTAGCAAATTCTGTCCAGGGCCCCAAGTTTGTTTTAGGTCCTCAAGTTTAGAGTATTAAATAAAACTATTTCTTTTAACTGTCAGACAGGCGTTGGAGCGCGGAGCCCCCAAATTCGCATGGCCTGTAGCATTTGCTACTCTAGTTATATGGCTAATCCGGCACTGCGTAGCCAACATCGTAAAATTATAGTAAAAGAAACAAAAGAGTTGAGTTATGAATATATGAAATAACAATATAACTTATGAAAGAATCATGCAATATATCTAAAAACAACATACTATTCCCAGATATTATTTAAAGAAAATGTAAAAGCAAATGTTATCGAGTGTATTAAAAAATATTCGTACTGCGATTGTACAAGAAATTTCGCATCTTTAGGTTGAAGGGTTTAGGAGGAAGTGCGGTGCTGGACATTGGCATATACACACTGCAGTTCGCTCAATACATTTTCAAAGAAGAACCCATCAAGGTGACGGCGGTCGGAGATCTGAACGAGGAGGGAGTCGATTTGGTGGATACCGTCATCCTGGACTACAAGGGTGGTAGAAAAGCGGTACTTATCATCAATACACAGATGCGACTTTGGAACAAGGCAACTGTGTATGGAAGCAAAGGAAGAGCGACGGTAATTTATTTTTTACCTTCACTACAGTTAGCTACACTTAACACCAAATGGAAAAAATCCAGGTCATAGTGTAAAAATTATTTTTTATTAAGAAAATACGTCCCAATTTATTATTACTTTTATGAATTGCTGAAAAACACTTTTTGTTGATACAGAAATAGGTTTTTTTGATCTAGTAACACTAACTGGACTCCTTAGAACACTGTTCTAGTATTTCATCTCGTCCAAATTAATTGTTGAGGTTTTTAAAAATATTACTTTTCATAGTTTGTTCATACGTCATTGGTCTTTATTATGTAATATCGACACGAAAGGTGTTTACTAAAACATAGGGGTCATCGGTTAACTTTCGGCTTATGACCGGCAACGTTATGTAATGGTTATATAATTATTATTTAATAACGTTATTTATAGCATTTAGTTGATAAATATTTTCATAAACAATTCTGCGAATTTATCTTAACGCGAGCGAGAGCAAATGGCCAACAATCACGAAATTTAGGTTTATTTATTGGGTGCATATAATAGCTGCCATTTACGATTAACTTAAATAAGATTTTCTAGTACTAATCAATAGACCATATGTGGCTTGTCTCCTTCTTATCATCTCTGTTAGCGAAATATCATGAATCGAAAAATCGTTTAACTTACAGATAGAAGACCCCTTCCATTTCCCAGAAACATTAATCCACGTGGATGGCACAGCTGAAAAGATTCCCCTGCATACTTCCAGCATCCCGTACAACTTTGAGAATAGCGCCGGTTTAGTTTTCGAAGCTATGGAAGTTGCGAGATGTATAAAACAAGGTAAAACTAATCGTATTCCACAGCAATAAGGTTAATAACTCCAATCAACTCAAACTTGTAATTTAGATGAATAAATTTTTAAAGTAACATTGTCAATATCTAAAGAACTCTTACTATAATTGGCGGTTGTATAGTTTAATTCAATTGAAATGAGAACTTATAATAAACATAACTAAATTATTGTACTTTTATTGGGCTATAATCACAGACTTATTGAAAAAAAAAACATGTACCAATTTAAACATTAAAATCTAAAATAAATCCATAGACAATAAATAACATTGTCAGATTCCGTTGAAGTCAAATGTATACTTGAAGTTTTCCCACAATTAATAGAACGTTAAATTTTATTTCTAGGTCTGAAGGAATCGCCTAGAATGTCGCACCAAGAGAGTCTTTTGCTGGCTAAATTGGAAGACGAGATTCGTAAACAGGTCGGCGTGCACTTCGATGTCGACGACAAAGAGTATCCTTGAGTTAAAACACTTACAGCCTTACAAATAAACGCGGTATTTAGTTAAACTTAGGAATAAAAAAGAAAGTATAATTAAAATTTGTACTAATATTTGCTTATACTGATTTTATTCCTAAGTTTAACTTACCACATTTATTTGTAAGGCTGTTTGATTTTTAATGATGCAAATAAACAATATTGGACATGTTAGTATTAAGAAAGCAACAAAACTTTGTTTCATTTACTGTTTTTAAGCGGCCTAAAAGTTTATATATTTACAAGGAGAATTAACAAATATAAAGTATTGCTCTTTTAATGATAGTAATAAATTGACAATTAACAATACTAATGAAATCTATTAATTAATCAGTAGACAATTGAGATGTATGATTGGATTAAATTAGGCCTTCATTGGAGGTCCGTGACTGTTGGTTTATAGACCTTAATTACTAAAATTAACTTTAATTATAATTGATGACTACATTAGGTGGTTTAAAATACTATCTATACTATTATAGTAAAGTGTAAACACACACAGAAGTGTGCTACAAAAATAAAGTTTCCATGGTTTGTTATGTCATGTCATTTTGACATTAGCAATTGATAATTTGACACATGTAAACAATATATTATTTTTTTTATAATTCCATGCAGTTGAAGCCGCACGGGAACAGCCAGTTACTACTATTTGTTAATTTCAATTTTAATCATCATTTAAAATATTTAGTATAAAAGGACATTTATAACAATTATTTATTTACACATTAATTTAAAATTATTGTACGTAAAAAAATGTAAAAAGCATGATATAGAGTAAGCAAGAACTATTTTAGGATATACCCCAAGACAGAATAGTCCCTCTTGTAAATTGAAAATTATTGCCACAAATGATATTTACTGAAGTTATTATTTAATCGGCTAAGTCATATTGTCTAAAATACCTTGATACCAAACATATAAAAATATTTAATGGTGCTACAGCTTCTTTTGAATTTTCTTGCTCTGGGTCTATGTGTGTCCTGGAATAAAAAAGCAATACTATCACATTGTTGAATCCTTGTAGTGATCAACTCCATAGTTTAAAATACAGTAAGAATTTAGACAATAAACAATATATCTATTGGTAATGATCCACTATAGTTAATTAATTATTGAGAACAACAAAAAGTACCTTATTTCTGCACATTTTCTAGCTAAATTTCTTAATATGCTCGTAGTGTCAGACAAAAGCGGTTGCCTTGTGCAAGCAAGAAATGCATATATCCATTGACCTAGAATTAAAAAAAAAAGTCTTACTAATATTATAAATGTGAAAGTTTAGATGGAAGATTGTTAGAAGTTATCTCTGAAACAGTGTAAAGAATCTTGATGAAATTTAGCAGAGATGCAGAACACAGTGTGAATATAGGCTACATACAAAAGCTACTGACTACGTTTTTTTTATTCCACAATGATAGAATCTCAGATAAAAACAAATCACTCCATGATATGAAGAATGAGAGAATAAAGATCAATAAGTATACCTGTTTTATAATCAATTGTTTCTCCTGGTGGCACATCATCAATTATATCTGTTAATATTTCTAACGCCCGGTCTAGTAATGTGTATGGCAAACCAAGAACACAGGATAAAGTTGGTTCATTTGTTTTAAAAAATCTTTTCCAGCCTAATAGATTATCTTGTTCTATTTCTATTTTCCTTATGCTACTTGACCATTGAGATTGTTTTGATATTATACGAGATATGTACATTCGAACTTCTGAAAAATCTGCAACTTGAATGTTTTGCCATTCTATTGTTGGTTTAAAAATATCCGGAACAAACGCTCGTGGAAGCTGTAAATTAGATACGTTGGCTTTTTAAAATCAAATGTAATAAGAATAACATAACATAATAGGTGTAACTTGTTACAATTTGTCTACTTACCTCCGATATAAAACAGGACTGATTCTTTGCAAATTTTGAAATATCTTGTTGACATTTGGTTACTTGTGAATAATTTTCACGTTCTTTTATAACTTTTAATAGATATTCCTCGCCCGTTGTAGGAATGTCTTTAAACTCGACATCTGGATTAATATACAAACAGGGGGACATTAGTGCATCTACATTCTCGTTTTCTGGGACCTTCGCCTTTAAGATAACTTTTTTTTTCGGCATGCTGAATAATGTTAGATAGATTTAACACTATTGTTATTGTAAAACATAAAATAGAATGGCTTAAAAAAGCTTTATTTTTTTGTCCTTTAACTTTATTATTTTGACAGTTTGATGACTATCAAAGAGTACATAACCATAGACAATTTTTTTCCAAAAAATAATAGTACCACACCCTCATGGACATAGTATGAGCACTTTCTACTCAACAGAAATAACTTTTAGTATGTAAAATAAACGATTTTTCTTGTAAATTAAACTAGAATATTTATAATAAACCTGTCGATTTGGAAAAACAACCGATAATTAAAGTAAACCAGGAGACCAGGACCGATCATTTAAATTGTTGTAGTACATCCCAATTCTGAATTGTCAATGTCAAGCTATCAAAATTATCATCTTAGAACAATTTATTTAAACAAATTAATTATAATTTATATAAATAATTAAAAAGTGGTATTTAAAAGTTAAATAGACGATTCAGTTTCTCGATTTCAGTACACACGTGATGTCTACATCCAGTAACATTTCTCAGTCTGCGTATTCTGCTTCAGAACCTGAAACTCCACAAGTGCGGTAACGTTATACTAAAATACAGTCTTCAATTCAACTATGTTAATAACCATAAGTATTATATTTTAGGGTACACCTCAAAATAGAAAACTAAAATTTGATGAAACTTTAGAACATGGGGACTTAGGGCAAAGCATTGAACAGTCTTTAAAATGTGCACAAAACGAAATGCACCAAAAGAGAATTCAAACTATTAGAAAAGAACTTGACTATTTAAAATCTACAGAGTGGAAATTTGAGTATGACAAAGGTTTTGCTCAGTAATTGTAATAAATAATAATTTCACTATGACATCATATTTAGCTTCTTGGTATAATTACCTTTTCAAAAAAGATTGTGAGGAAGACAATGATGAATACAAAGAGAACTATCTGGCAGAACAGCTAGTTGATTTAGAATATGTAAGCGAACAGGAAGCAAAACAAAATGATAAAGTTGATAATGTTGATATACCCAATGATACAATTTGTTTCCAAAGAACAGGTATTGTAATTTATTTGTTTTATTAGCATAGGTGTCGACACCTGATAATCTACTCTAGATCAAGGGATGTAGCACCTACCATTAATGCAGTCTTATTTGAAGTAGTTTTTCTATCTAATGTGTATTTTTCTTAAAAAACAAAGTGGAGCACTTTCTCTACTGGTGATGCTCATGATAAGCTTGCATTATAAAATACCGATTTTAACACTTATTTTGATAGTTGATTATAAATGAAGTTACCTTTATTTCTGTATATTATTATTGTAACAAAAATAAGGCAGTTATTTGGTAGCATGATCTGCTATTCTTTGGAGATGCAAAATAATACAAGGTATTTTCAGATTTTACTGTAAAACCATACATTTTTCAGGTGTGATAACTTTCAAGAAGGAAAATTATGTTTTGATAGATGGGATGTTGTATTTTGATACATCAAACTCCAGCTGCTACTGTGATGTCAATGACCAAGTTTTGTACTTGGCTCACAAAGATGGAAATGATTCAATAGTAGTTGTACGAATATTAGAAAATAGAGGTTCATTTTGGGGTGAAGAAGGTGACCTGGAGGAGATTAGTTTTAAAGTGACCGAACATATTTTGGTTGCGGAAGTTGCTAGGAGAGAGAATCGGAATGTTTATCTTAAAGAGAGTGATGTTAAATTTAATCTGGATGATGTTAAAGGCACTTTTGTACCAATTAATGGAGATTGGTTGGAACTAACATGTAGTATCCAAATGGATGAAAGCAAGCCGTTTGATATAACTATGAAACAGGTATGCATATTTGTGTTTTTTAAGGTTTTGTAGAAGCATTACTTTACTATATTAGTCTGATGAGAATAAAGTTCCTATTGAGCCCATTGATTGGTCAGCAGCATTCGAAATGTTATACCTACAGTTGTATCTGTTACTAAGTAATATCTTTTTCAGGTTCTATCAGTGATATCCTTCAAACCTCTAAGGACTAAATTAATAAGTGCATATATTACTGAATGGAGTGGTACATATGGCACCTGTAATAGATTGATATGTTTTGACAAAAATAGTTTGTTAAATGGATATCAACCTGAAATAAACTCGAAGGTATTTTATTTATTTTGCTTAACACATAATCAATGTTTTTTATGTCAATAATTTCATCTTAAAATTAGTGTTCTAATTTTGTTGGAGCAATATTTTTATGTGTATACTTCAGACATTACAGCTTGTGATGTTAAAAAAATGTTTTTAATGTATGTCTATTTGTTTTTATTTAAGGTAATGGTGGAAGCCATAGAGAGCAATCAAAACCTCTGTACATGGAGGGCCATTAAATTAATAGTACTAGAAGATGACTATAAACATGATGCCAAAGGATGTTCTGATGATAATGTTGTAACTTTGCAGTTAGAAAAAGAGAAAAGACTTGATGTTACATATCCTTTGGAATTTCAGAATTTAAATTTTAATAATGTATCCAAAATACCAATAATTGTAGCTAATAACAGTGATGAAATATACACTTTGAATAAATGGATTATACTTAGTAAAAAAAGGGATTCACAAATTAAAGTGGAGCCATTTTTAACTTCTCCGATTAAAATTTATCCACAAAAATCCATACAATTCACGATAATGTGCAAACCGAAATTTCTTGGAAAAACGAAAGAATGTTTAGTTATGTTATTCAGGGGTTTTCAAATAAAACGATTCATTGAGATTAATGTTGTGGAGGAAAAAGATTTTTTTAATGCAAATGGAAATACAGTTATGAAGAAAAATAAATATGAATATAATGAAAAAATGAGAAATCTAAGAAAGGATACTAGAAGCATACTGCCAGGCGAAAAAACAGTTAAACCACCTGCTTTTGTTTCAGTCAAACTTGGATCATTTGCTGTACCAGAAAAAATATGGGATATTGTGTTAGGTGATTCGGAGCAAACAATCCAAAGTGCTGAATATAGTAAAATTCTAGAACGATTAGAATTACATCTACCTTGCTTATCAAAGCAGTTGGATGGAGAGAATTATATGGACAGATGGCACACTTTGATGTACATGGAAGAAATCCAGTTAAATATAAACATGAGATCCTATGATATACCAAAAGTGTTCCTAATAAGGTGTCAAGAATATCTTTGTGTGGAAATAAATGGACTTGCAGAGAAAAGACCATCTTTGATTATTGGTGATAGAGTTGTAGTAAAAGATATGTGGCAAAATAATAGTCCTTCATATGAAGGTTTTATTCATGCAATTAAAGGTGACTTAGTTCTAATGAAGTTTCATCTGCAATTCCATGAGAATTATAACGGCAGTGATGTGTCGATTGAGTTTTACTTCTCTAGAACAATATTTAGGCGTGCGCATCAATGTATCAACTACGCTATCTCGAACTTAGGTCTCGATGTTTTATTTCCATCACAGATTAAAACAAAGAAACCTCAAGTATCTAATGAAACAGTTAATACAATAAAGTGGTTTAATAAAGATTTAAATGAATGTCAGAAACATGCAGTGACAAATATTTTATTAGGAGAATGTCGGCCAATGCCATATTGTATTTTTGGACCACCAGGAACAGGAAAAACAATAACAGTTGTTGAAACAATTTTACAAATACTAAGTAACATCCCGGAAAGTCGAATTCTTGTGGCAGCACCATCCAACAGTGCGGCAAATTTAATAGCACAGCGGTTTATTCAATATAGGGACAGTTTTAAAGGCTCTGTTATAAGATTGATTGCCCACAGTTTGTTGGATTCTGACAACATACCAGATGAACTTAAGCCATTTTGTGCCACACTGGACATTTCTAGAGAAGAAACAATCAAATCGAAACATTTAGTAAAGAATGGGATGAACTTAAATTGCCAGAAAGGGTTCATTGGCCGACACCGTATTACGATTGGAACATGCTATTGTTTAGGTTCCTTAGCACAATTAGGATTGCCTAAAGGTCATTTCACACATATTATTGTGGATGAGGCCGCACAAGCTACTGAACCAGAAGTATTGCTTCCATTGACTTTCATTGACAAAGAAAGTGGTCAAATAATTCTTGCAGGAGATCCAATGCAGTTAGGACCTGTAGTATTATCAAAATATTGTCAAGAATATGGATTGGATGAATCATTCATGTCTAGAATATTGGAGTGTTATCCATATCAAAAGGATTATATTTCATTTAAACATGGATATGATAATCGTCTTGTCACAAAGTTGATTGATAATTATCGTTCTTTAGAGGAGGTTATATCTTTGCCAAGTGAAATGTTTTATGATTCATCTTTAGTAGCTAAAATTGACAGAACTCAACAATGGGTATTGCAAGCTATTGATGCCACCTGTTCAATATTTGGTGGAGATGCTGTCAAAGCCGGTGGTATATATGTACATGGAGTTAGGGGTCAAAATCAGAGAGCAGAGGACAGCCCTTCATGGTACAATCCTCAAGAGGCTTCTATGGTAGCATTAACTACTTGCAAATTGTTAAAGAAAGGTGTGTCAACTGACGACATTGGCATTATAACGCCATATATAGCACAGGTAAGATTATTTTTAAATTGTTTCTTAAAGGTAATCCAATAAAAATATTTTAGATCAATATAGAAATCTATAAATGTGATGTTTATATTAATATGGTATCTTTTATTCCAGATTAAATATTTAAGGCTGTTGTTTGATTCAATGGGCATGGTCAAACCTAAAATAGGAACTGTTGAGGAGTTCCAGGGCCAAGAGCGCCCTATTATACTCATATCAACAGTCAGATCTTCAGACACGTTGGTAGAAACAGATCAGAAACATACCTTGGGATTCGTGAAAAATCCAAAAAGACTGAATGTTGCTTTAACCAGAGCTCAAGTGTCCGTTATTTTGTTTTGTAATCCTCACCTACTCTGCTTGGACTCATTGTGGAAGAGAGTAATCGTGACAGCAATTAATGAAGATAAATACATGGGATGTAATGTTCCTGATAGTGTTATGAATAAGACATAAAAGAAAATATAGTTAAGTGTAGTAAATGTTTATAGTTTATTTAAACCCACCGCTGTTAACTCTTACGAAAGATAAGCTATCTTTCACATTAGTAAACTGTACAACTGGTAGTTGCTACTACTGGTTGTACCGTTTTGAATAATAGGAGAGTTTTTTGCTAACACCAAATTAGTAGGTACATAGAGTACTTTGAGAGAAAACGTTATTGTTTATACCATGCAATGTTACTTTTTTGTTAATACAAATTGTTTTACTAATGTAAAATAAAAATCTTACTAAGAAATTGATATTAATAAAGTATTATTCATTATTATGTAGTTTTTGTTCTACCTTGGTGAAGACTTTTTTGTTAATAGTATTCCTACGAATTTAATTCAAATTAATCAATCTTAAATAGACAAATTATATTTTCTCGAAGTAAGGGACGACATTGGAGTGTTTCCGGATGCATAGATAATAACAAGTAGTATGATGTCTGTGTACAAAACGGTGATCTGTCAGTGATTGTCAAAGTCGATAGTTGTCACAGAAACCATTACGATAAGGTATAAATAAATAATAAAACGTCATATACTTCTTACGGAGATTACTGATTATTTTCAAAGTTTAGTTTTCTTTTGTTTAAATCCACTTTCCAAATATAATGCTAGTTTATACATAATTTCAAATGATATATTGACACTTTTTATCACTTACCAAACCTTGGTGTAGCAATCGTTTTCACCTATAATGGAAGTGAATGGTGCAGTTTTGTGTGACAATCTAATCAAGTGGTTACAAACACTTAACCTTACAGCTAAACATGGAAATCCATCAGGTAAAACTTTTAGTACATAAAACAATAACATCAAACTTTAATTTGTATTTGTGAGAAATGTCATCACAGATTGATTGTAATATTTGGTCTATCTTAAAAGTAAATAATCGCATCTTTAATATACATCTTGTTGCATTCCATTCAGTTCTATATGTTTGAAGTAAACATTAGTATTTTTTGACTCAGATCTATCAGATGGTGTGGCCATTGCTGAAGCTCTTACACAAGTGGCGCCTGAATATTTCACACCTGCATGGATTTCCAAAATCAAAACAGATGTTGGACATAATTGGAGATTAAAAGTGAGCAATTTGAAAAAAATACTAGAGGGTGTTGTTGGTATGTATTTTAGAGCAAACATATTTAGTGAAAGCACAGGATGTTATATAAACTTAGATTTATGTTAATAAAATAAGTTATTATGCTCTGCTAAGAGCAAGATCTAGTATGGTAATTTTTAAATTGTGTTGCCAATAAACCAGTTTTGTTGCATATTTGAAGAATAACAGATGAACAATTGTTATTAATAAGAGATTACCAGACTCCCATTAAGATAATATTAAATGGAAATTGAAATGTTATGTTACATTAAAAATTATTAAAAACCCTGTTATATTTGTTGAAAACCAACAGTATTAAATGAATCACTTTTGAATCTCGGATCAAATACTAGTAAAAAATATATAGAAGTGAATTATATATTACATAAATTGATTTTACTAAATCTATCAGCGAAAAACATTTCACATTGGTTTTGTATAATCTTTGTACTATTTTTTAACTAAAAAAATCATTCAATTTCTACCTTAAGTCATTATAAATAAACATCAATTAAAAAGTAATTTATTAAATAGGAACTGCAAACACTTGACACTGGCCCAATCCGCTGTGGGAGAGCCATAAACAAGAAATAGATAGATAAATAGGAACTGTATTGATTTATTGACCGACTTCCCAAAATGGAGGCGCTCAATTTGTTTGTACATACATATTTTTTTAATTGTTTTTTTAAATTACAGATTACCATCAGGATATACTAAATTTGAGTTTACAAGAGTTTACAAGACCTGATGTGGTGAATATAGCTGAGAATGCTGACCCTTCAGATCTGGGCAGACTCTTGCAGCTGGTTCTCAGTAAGTTGCATTATTTGATTTGACATTTATTTTTTTTTTACCAACTGGAGTAGAGTAATTTTGAGATTTTGATAAGTTCAAAGTTCACTATGAGTAAATTAAGTGGCGTGGACTACTTAGATAGTTATAAAACCCTTATTATAGCCATTTTCCTATAATTAACGTTTCAGTCTTGATGTTTTTGTTTCACCTCAAATAATTTTTGTAATCCAAATTGAATGATTGTATCAACACATCATCAGCACAAGATTAAAAATAACTTATTAATCAGATGATGTGAAGTGAATGGATGGATGTTATTCAACACAATTTAAGTAAACATAGAGAATAAGTTAACATATTTTTATTAATAAAACTTCTTTGAACTTGACTGTTGAATTTTTGTTTTTAAAAAAGTGACTATTTCTCGTAGGCTGTGCTGTTAATTGCATTAAAAAGGAAGAATACATCACTCGTATTATGGGACTTGAACTATCCTGCCAACGATCCATAATGCAAGCAATACAGGTTTGGTTAATTCTCCTTTTAAACTTATGTTATCTAGTATTCATTTCAGCATTTTGGATTTATAATTAACACAATTTATAGAGGACAGGTTAATCCAGCTACATGGCTATGGCAGGCTCACAGCCTAGCATTTTGACTAAATATTAAACACTAGCTTTCGCCCACGACTCCGTCCGCGTGGAATTAAAAAAAAAACAAAAGCGAATGCCTATGTGTTTTGCCAGGCTATCTTCTACGTCTGTGACAAATTTTATCGAGATCTGTACAGCCGTTTAGGTTACAAACTCTAACAAACACCCATCCGTCCATCCATCCTTCCATCCGTCTATGCATCTAAACTTTCGCATTTATAATATTAGTAAGATAAGATTGCCTGTTAAGATTAAATTAATTGGGTTTAAAATGGAATTTAAAATAAGATGAATATGTTGCTGGGAAAAAAATAAGTGTCTATTAAATATAATAGATAAAAGTTCAAATTTAATAGTGTAATGTAATAAAAAAGACATAATACATAACACTAAATTAATGATTGTAAATGTAGCAATGCAAACGTAATGTACTCTCATAAATACTATTAAGCAAATATGTTAGCTAACAGTACTTTCGGAGTTCATACTTGGCACTTGCATCGCGACTTTGTGCGAATTAGTTACGCGTCTTTTACGTCCTTGGTTAGTGAAAAAATTCTAGCGTGATGGCATGCTACATACATCAGTATACATTGGAAGTTCGCGCTTGTTGCACCGATATATTAAAACACGGTATTTGCAACATGCCGATAAACAAGACATTATTTTAGTAACATTTTTTAATCACAATAGTGTCAAAGCAATTAAAACTTTCGCAAAATAAATATGTGTCGTATGCATGTTTTCGACACGTGTTGCGTTAGAGTGTGGTGAAATGTTTGACATGATGCGTTTTGAATCGGCCATTTGTCGGAAAGGAACTGGAGACGTTGACTTTGGGAGGGAACCGCGGCAGCCTGCACCTGGAGCCCGCACCGGACTCGGATGCTGACATGAGAGAGGCTCTTGCACAACGATGCCATGATCTCGATAATCAGGTATTTTATATTTTTAAAAATATTCTTTAATCTTTGATTTTTTTATTCTGTGCCCAGCTAGAGACCTATACCTATTTAATTATCTCCAATAGGATTATAACTGATGATGACTGCAAAGACTATTATTATTATTAAGCTTCTTTATTATGTTATAATTTGACCACATTCTTTAAGAACAAAATAAACGTTTTTTTGCGCTTTAGATGTGTGATAAATATTGTAAATGAAATATAGATACTATCAGAGACGATCCGACGGATAAGGCACGACGATGGGTGAAAGTAGTTACTTATGCGACAGCGTGTTTACAGTTTATTAAACTCTAACAATGGCAAGTGATCTTCTAATTGCAACTATGTTCGCATTTAACAATAGTACTGGTTACCCAGAAAGGGTACGGAACCGTATAGTATTATACGGTCCTTACGTCAGCAGATTACGACAATCAACAACCTTAGTTTTAGCCCAATTGGAGTTAATTTTATACTGGAGTATAAGTAAAACTTAGATTTTGGGAGCCGGCTTCCGGTCATGTTAATTTAATTGTTTATATCTCTTGTCCTATTTGTCAAGGATTCGACTTTATACGAAATACATGTTCACTTCAGCGAGGATAGCAAAAAAATGCGCAGATATTACAAACAGTTAATTCCGTTACATTATTGCGAAAGGTTTGTGCGGTTTACGTTTGCAATTGTTAAAGTGCGCCGACTGTGCATTCCAAGACTGAAGGTCGATTTAAAAATCTCTTAAAAGAAATCTGTACGAATGATAATTTTAATGCTGCTAAGTAGTAATATTTAGGTTCGTTATTCTACTTTAACGATCGACCTATGTCATAAATACGAAAACATTAAAGGACAAAGATGTTTAAGAATAAATTGCATTCTCTAAATATGATTGTCGAATGTTATTTGTTTTAAATGAACTGCGATAGGTGTAAAGAAACTTCAATATATTGATGGTTTGGATCATTAAGGGTGAGTTGCACCATATCGCCGGTTACCGTTAAAGTTAAAATTATTTGTAACAGTAATATTTGGAATAACCTTAAAATGTACTAAGGATGAGTTACATTAACTAACTATAAACCTTAACCAGCACATTCCCGATGGTTACGTCTTCGGATGTTCATGATATTCGCTACACCAGTTTTGCGCTGGTCAAAATTACGTCATATTTGACACTAATCATAACCGCCCGATTTTGGGCGGTTATAGTTAGCGTTACGGTTAGTGTCAGTTCGGTAGTGTCAACTGTCACAAGCTCTTATCTTCAAAAGCACAAATAATGGAAAAAGTAATGGAAAACGAAAATCTCTACTATTATCCTATACGTAATCCAGAAGAATAAAGTCTTGCGTGCTCGGAAATAATGGATTTCCAAGATGGAACTCGAAATTTGGCCAAACATTCAGTTTGGACAAATTTCGAGTGTCTAAGGCCATAGCAACAGCGCTTGTCCCTTTTCTCTTATTTAAAAAAATGTCCTCCATAAAAGGACAATTTATAATATGCATTGACAGGACAATTTATAATATGGAAAATAAATAATATGCATTTATATTTGTATAATTTTATTGCTTCATTTTTGCTACATATTTGAGTAGTAAAGTAAATACAGTTTCAATAATGGCCCAAACTAGTTTATTTTCACAAGAGTTTGCCATTTTCTCCATCTTCGTGGGCAAAAAGTTTATTTCACTATAAAATACCATGCGTATGATACATAAATATAATCGGCGAAACATGTATTTCCAAACATTTCAATTTACGTAAATGTCATTCTTGACACCAACTTGACACTTTAGTGACATTCAGGTTTAAATGTTTCCATTGTAAAAACGAAAAACACATAAAACCTCTGTGAGAATATGTTTTTGCACTTGTAACCCTATTATAACTTTTACGATAACCAGCGATTTGATGCAACTCACCCTAAGCCGCTAAAATATATGTTTCCTAACAAGCACATAAATACAATAGAAATCATCCTTCGAATCCAAAGAGGAAGGAAAGTTGACACATTTGAAACACTTTTCACATAATCTAACTAACGCTACCTAGTGTTCGATAGTCTAAATCACAAATAAACAAAATCTGACATTGATATATTACCGTACAAAGAAGTTACCGGTGAAAAAATATTGTTCCCCATGACTTGTCTATATAAAATGTCTGTTCAAATCTCACACGGTACATCAAAATCTGACAATATGTCAGTGAGACAATAAAAATCTTAGGTGAAAATCCTTGAAGAGGAGAAGATGACGTTACTAAGCGAGGTGAGCCGGCTGACGGCGGCGCAGCCGGGGGCGGCGGGCGGCGGGGAGCGGGAGCTGGATGAGGCGGGCGCGTCGCTGGGCCCCGCGCACGCCGGCACGCTGCGCTACAGCCACATGCGCGCGCAGCTCGACGCGCTCAAAGACGAGCTGGACAAGCTCGAGCTGCAGCGAGACGATCAACGTGCGCGCGCCGACGGACTCGAGCGAGACCTCGCTATGGTCAAACTGAGGAATGAAGAACTACAGGTGTGTAAAACTGGTCACTTAGGGAGCTCCTTGGTATAGAGTTTTAAACTAAACTACGTTCGCGTGAAATTAAAAATAAAAGAAAACAAAAGTGAGTAAGCCTTTGTGTTGAGAATATCTTCTACATCTATACCAAATTTCATATAAGTCCGTACAGACGTTTAGGCTACAAACTCTAACAAACATCCATCCATCCATCTAAACTTTCGCACTTATAATATCAGTAAGTATGATCTATACTAAATATTATAAAGAGGAAAGATTATAAAGCTACGTTATCAGTGAATAACATAGGCTATTTTATTACTAATTCTTAAATTCACGTGGACGAAGTCGCGAGCAATCTACAATAAAGAAAGCTATTTATTGACTATACATATAATACGGATTGTACGACGAAAATAGTTTTTAGTAAAGTAAAAAATGTTATATTTTTTAGCTTTTTACAGTTAAAGAAACATTACATATTAGTATTCAATGTAGGAAATTGTGTAAGAAAGTTATAACCGTATGAATTCATTATTTTTTTTAGTAACAACTGATATGTTTATTTATTACTTGATACACTGCTTTCAGTCATTCCAACGATTTTTTTATTATGTAAGTTAATGAACGTACGTTGAATCTTTTAATGAATTCAACAATTATGATTTATCACCTTCGTCGATTGAACCAGCCTTAATCAGTAACTATCACACTACGATTTAATATTAATAAGGCAAATTTGAAGAACTGATCGCGAACCTTCGATAGTCGGAGAGGCACTTTAAAAAGGACACTATTTGATTTTAACTTTATTACCGTGAAATTCCATTGTCATATTCGTTAATATATTGTTTCAATGTTTCGTCAGCGGAAACCTTTCTTTAAGACATTGTGATGTTAGATAGCGGCATCAGAGAACGTAGCTCTGAAGGACGAGGTGGACGCGCTGCGCGAGACGGCGGCGAAGGCGGCCGCGCTCGAGGCCGCGGTCGCCTCCTACAAGAAGAGGATGGAGGAACACGTCGATTTACGAAGACAGGTATGTTAATTATTATATGAAGTGATAAAAGCAAATGAATTATCAACAGATAATGAAATTTTAAAGGTTTGGTCCATTTTGTCTTTTTATTTTTTTTAACAGATGTATTCTTTGTATGTTTTCTGAATGTAGTAACTAAAATTTGATGTATAATTTGCCCAAGGTTCTTATGGTGAAGGAAAACATCTTTCTTCTCAAACCAACCATCAAACCATTTCAACAATACTTGGCTAACATGGTTGACAAATTCCTAGGCACCCTTAACTTAGGGTAGGCTTCGAGCCCCTCAGTGGACACGTATAGAAAGCTGGTGATAAATATTTTATAATTTGGTGTATACAGGTGAAGCTATTAGAGCGTGCAAACTTGGAGCACGTGCAGCGCGCCATCGAGCACGAGCAGGCGGCCGCGCGCGCCAATGCCGTGCGCGCCCAGCTCGACATATACAAGAAACAGGTCAACTATTGCCTCTTTAAATCCATATTATTTTCATTTTAAGTATGTTACTGAGAGTATACATTACTTAGTCTAGATTACTTTCTAGATTATTAAGTGCGGAAATTACAGATGTACTAGTTTGTCTGCGATTTCGTCCGTTTGGAATTAAAAAAAAAAACAAATTCGTAAGTAGTCTATGTGTTCTACCAAACTGTGTTCTATATCCATGACAAATTTTGATATCCGTTTAAACTTTCTGAAAATACGTAGTGATTATCCATCCATCCAAATTTTCCTATTGATGTTACTTACTAGCAGTCATCTGCAAAAAAAATCAATATGTTCTTCAAGATTGTTCTTCCGAAGATTCGCATTTATAATATAAATTTAATATTTTGACACAGGTAACAGATTTAAACGAGAAGTTAGACGCGGAGATAACGAAGGCGGATAAGCTGGAGATCGAGAACAAGAAGCTGAGCAGCCGCGCGGCGTCGCTGCAGCGCGAGCGGGACGCGCTGCTGCAGGAGCGCGCCACCCTCAGGGAGACGGTGGACGAACTGCGCTGCTCCACCGCCTCTGCAGGTAACACCACCTCACTATACGACCCCACTGGGGGCACACCTTAAGTTAGGGTGACTCGGCTTAGCCTGCCACCCATTACTAAGGGACGAGTGGAAGGCGCGCTGTAGTTCCGGCTTCCCGGCGTGCCTATTCCAGGGGAGTTCTAGGGAGGCTAGTCCTCCCCCCATAGCAAGAGCCGCTGCCGCGGTTAGCGCAGGCGGGGCCGCAGAGGACTGCTGATAGCGTACCCGTTGCCTCGCTATCATGCGTAGGAGGAACCAGAGGTGGTTTAGTGGGTATGCCCCATTAGGGGGAGAATCCCACATAACTTCGCGTCCCCCCGGGCGCGGAGTATGCATAAAGCATTTCCCTCTATAAAAAGGGTGACTAGGCTTCAAACAACCATGCTGAAGCACTGCGGATTCATTTCATACATCTTTGAATTACTTCGTCAATGTGGGCATCACTATATTTTCCTTCACCGTGAGAACGTATAAGATTTTAGCCAGATAAATTCATCAAAAATATACGATCTATTAAAAAAATACAAAGATATTGTTGCTATTGATAATTAACTTGCTTGCCCCAAAGGCTCACACTCTCTCTTACTCGTTTCTGTCTATACTCTATTCTATACCTGAAACAATAGTCTAAAATATTTTTCACAGAATGTAATCCAGTTTTCATCTAACCAGAGTAGAGAAATGATTGCGTGTTGTTAAATTTTCAGGTGCAAGCGAAGGAAACGTATCGAAAGAGATGATGCCGAATGACCTGAAGGAGCACCTGGTGCGGCTCGAGCACGAGAACAAGCTGCTACGGCAGAACCAAGGAGCACAAGCGGACCACGCCTCAGTGCAAGTATGTAAATGACCAACTATATATGTGATTTCTTGCATAATAACATTAAGGGGACCTTTATCTTATCCGATCTCAAATTTATATGACATAAAAATTGTCGATTTTTTCACATCCTGTAAAACTCTTAATTCCAAATGTCAATATTAAAATGTTTGTACAACGAAGGCTCTTGCCAATCATTCTTTATTGTTTTATTGTATTAAACTTAGGGGTAAATAAATTGGAGTAATACCTTCATGCGGGAAAAGGACCATAAATTACAAATTGAAACATGACATGGTAACGATAATTGTTATCCAATTTCAAAGGCCATCGTTATCATTTGTGTATTTGAATTATTTGCAATTGAAAATATCACAAATGTAAAGATTAAAATATATATTTTTTATAATTTAACGCCGATGAATCCGTACGGCAACAGCTCGTTACGTATACGCGTACGTGCTGTGAATGCAGACGTTAGTATTTGCTGAACACTCAGGCGCTGCTGGAGGAGTACGCGGCGCGGCTGGAGAAGCAGCGCGGCGTGAACCGCGAGGCGGCGCAGCGCATCATGCAGCTGGAGGCCGCGCTGGAGCAGCCGCACCCCCGCCTCGCCTCCGCCATCGAGGACAACCAGAGGAAATGTTAGCACCGCAACCCCAATATCCTCCCTTCTATTGGATAATTCCCAACCGTAACCCCGCCCTGTCACCACGTGAGGATAAAAGGTTTCATCCGTCTCACTTTTTAGTCCGTCCATCCCCAATAAGGTGTCAGATGGACCGTTATAGAATAAAATAAAGTTCCAACCGTCTCCTCGTCGTCAAAGGTGGGACGGATGAAACTTTTTATTCTTATCTGTCTCCACGTATCTACATCAGTGAATAACAGGCTATCATTTTATTAATTTTTATTTATGTGACTGGAAGGAAGTCGCGAGCTACAGCTAGTGTATACTAATAATATAAAGAGGAAACATTTGTATTTTGGTATTTTGTATGTATTGGAATAACTCAAAAACTACTGGGCCTATTTAAAAAAGGGAAATTTATGTGTGACGAACATAGGCTATATTTTATTATTACTAATGTTGGGGAGCTATTGATAAACAGCATATTTCTGGACACTAGCGTTAAATACTTTTCTCCGCTTATGTTTTATAATATTTAAAATGATTTCCATATTGTGTGCAGCGCTGCAGGTGGAGGAGCTGCAGGGGCTGCTGGGCGAGGAGCGGCGGCGCGCCGGCAAGCTGCAGGAGGCGCTGGCGGCGCGCGACGCCGACCTGCTCGCGCTCGAGGACAAGTACAAGAAGTGCGTCGACAAGGCCAAGGAGGTCATCAAGTCCCTCGACCCTAGGACCATCACCACCGGTACGGGTACCTCTGTACTAGTGTAATAAGTCTAGGTTACATCTTAGCTTTAGTTAACCTGAAGTTTCAAATTTAATACCGAGGCTTAAATTGGGGCACCTACAATCGATTTTATTTTAACACTAGCAATATTAAGAAAAAAGTAGTATAATATGCCCGTCTATGTCAGTTACCCTTCAGTGAAAGTCCGGTCGAAATCTGCCCAGCCGTTTCGGAAATTACCCGGTATGAACGTGGCTTGCGGACAGACAATTTTTTTTTAATTGCGATTTAAGTTATCAGCAACGCAAATACATCATCTTCTTGATATTCCTTTTTTTTATTGTGTTTACATGTTACTTTTGACTGACAATCTTCAAGTTAGAAAACAAAAAGGAGTATAGCACCAAGATGTTTAAGAACTTTACTATTTTTCCCAATTCAATTTAAAAATTCAGGCTTTTTAAGGGCTTATTGTGATGTCCTGCAGGCCAGCAGTCAATATCAGATATAACGCTGGGCTACTCGCGAGCTAACAACAGCGCGGCCGCCGCGCGCTCCGAAACTGCGCCCAACAACAACAACCGGCACGAGTGAGTTTGAAATACATATTAATAAACATATTACATAACTACACAAGTACCTATTGGTTACTTAAAAGGGAGTCCCTACATCTAAAAAAAAATACTATTTATAGAATTTCGAAAATTTACTTGAATGAATGGATGTTTGATAGAAGGTATATTCTGAACGGTTCAAAAAATCTCGATTATGTTTGGCATGGATGTATGATATAATCCGGAAGAAAACAATACTTTAAGTATTATTCTTTAATTCCGCGCAAACAGACCAGTGGGCAAAAGCTAATTAATATGTTTTTGTTTTAATTCTATTTAAGCAATCTAGTCTAAATATATTATGTATATTTAAGATGGAGCGGTAGTGGGGAGGGCAGCGGCGAGGGCGGGGAGGCGCGCGCCAGCAGCGAGCAGCGGCTGCTAGCGTCCGCGTGGTACCAGCTGAGCCTGCGCTGCCACCGCGAGGCGGTCGACCAGCGGTTCGCGCTGCTGGCTAGCGGACACTCCTTCCTCGCGCGCCAGCGCCGCCAGCAGCCGCGCCCGCGCCCCGCCGCCGCCGCGCCCGCGCCCTGACCGCCGCACCACATACTGATACTGACACTAAGTACGTATGGCCAAATTGACCAACTGTCACGTCTTAATTACTAGCCCAGCACACCTCAGTACAGTGATGTAAAATATCACATATGGGCCATTATCTTCAACTTGACATTACCGTATTTCTTTATTGGTAATTCTAATCAGTACCAATCTCAGAAAAATATCCCCTTTGTAAAAATAATGTTCTTTTCGAAATCTACAGAACCACCTTTACGAGTCAGCTATTTTAAATTTATCTAATAAATAAGTTGTTTAAGTGTTTTTAAAATTTAGAATTTTATTTAATGAGTGTTAAGGAATAATGTAGGCTGTAATTGATCCCTGTTTACGTGGACATAAACTATGACGCAAAGAATATTCGTTCTTTCTCTAAAACATCGCACAAGTTTCTTAAGTATTGTATTTTCTTGCAAGATGTGAAAAAATAACTTTTTGTTTCAGTGGTTCCACTGGCAACACAACTCGTTAGCTGTCGGATCTAACAGAACAATGTTGCAAGAATTAAAAATGACAGTATATACTTTTATACCAAGAGTATAATTAATATTTGTTACCGTGAATCCTTAATTCGAAACATAGTATACCGCTTTCCTAGTTTCTTTAAACAGAACGAGAAGGAGGTTTTTTTAAAAGTATTTTGACAATTAAAAAACCTACAGATTATATTGTTGGTTCACTTTAATTATAATAATTTATTATAAGACCATGTGATTTATGGTCTATGGTCAATTTTGCGTGATTTAGTACCAGTGGTGGAATCATTCCCAACCGTTACCCCGTTCTGTCCCCACTTGAGGACAGATGAGCGTAAAGTTTCATCCGTCCCATCTTTTGCGATGAGGGGACGGTTGAAACTTATTTAATGACGGTTCCATTGTCACCTTGTTGGTGATAGTGGGACGGATGAAACTTGTATTCTCACGTGGGGACAGAGCGGGGTGACAGGAATAATCCCAGTGATGTATGATAAGAAATATTGTAATTATTGCGTGTGTCAAAGTATCTGTTTTATTTTTTATTTGATTTTTAAAAAATAATTATTCTGAGAACAAACGTAAAAATACGCATGTGTTAGTAATTTTACTATTGAAAATGTTTGATTTGCATGTGATTTTGTTGTTTTATTATTTGTTTAAAAATCAACTGACATCGTTCTACTGTAATAGCTTATGTTTTTATTTCATGATAAAGAAATTAAAGCTTTTCAAAACAGTGGCAATTTAGCAGCAGTGGTTATTTCGAGCAGTTTTTTTGCATGATATTTTTGACGATTATCTACTTTGGCGGCATTTAGTAAATTGTGTAAGTATGACAAATGTTAAGTTTCTACATATTTGTGTAGTTCATATGCTGAAGAAAAAGATAAAAAAATATAGTATATTTTTATAATAAACTGTATTTTTATATACGTAAAAAATGGGCCGTATTGCAAATTCTCTACAACTTTGATGAGGCTGACAGGCAAGTAGAAATTTAATGCTTCGGTTATTTTTGCCTTTGCCTTATTTTGGTGCATTTATTTGCCTCAAACGAGTTGTATTCTTTCGGTGTAGATTACTTTGCCTCAAATTAAGTTTATTATGTTGCCTTAATGAAGTTGACCCGTTAGCCACACGAGGTTAAGTAATACTTTTATAGTAAGGTTTTTTCGACAATTTCGTCTATCCAAGTTGAAGTTGAAATAAGTATTGGCTGTTCTAATCGCAGTGAAAGTTCGTGTTAAGTAGAAAATTTAATGATAATGTTGAAATGCCTTAAAATGCCTTTGAAATATAATTATTTTTTACATATTTGGAACTAAACACCTTTGATATGCCTATGTGAATATATTTCTCTGTATATAAAAATGTAGATAAATAGATCAAAAGTATTATATTTCAATTTTATTACTATTGGTGACTAAATAAATGTTTTATTATTATTAGTGCGTTTGATACGTAGTGCTTTCTTTTACTTATATTATTGGTTACATTTTAATAAATTTTATAGTTTCTCATGAAAGACATTTATTTATTTAACGTAACAATAAAATATTATTATATTTTATGTTTATTTACTTCTCATGCTCAAATTAATTTTTGTTTAAATATGGCGAGCTGTACTAAATAGTTTTTAGATGTAAGGTAGATTGTAATAAAATAATAAATGTTTAATTTTAATATAAGAATTGTTTGAAAATTGATTTATACATTACCTAATTGGCTAGCGTTTCCTGTAGGTCCAAAAACGTTAGGAATATTTGCTTAAAAATGATAGTTTTTTGTCTAAGCTATAGTTGTAATAGAAAAGCGAATGACGATAGCTGTAATAAATTATTCTGTGCTGAGAATTATCTTAAATTCTATTAAAACTTTTAAAACATGTATCTTTGTCTATTTAGTTTGTATGGGTGTTTCGTTTAGCGCCTAACGGAAAAAAATACTAGGTCTTTCTCTAATTTTTATTTATCCTCATTACCTAATAAAACTCTCTTAGTTCCCATCAACTGACAAAATAATTACAATCTTACTATTTTAGTATAGGTAGGTACAGTCAGCTTTATTAATATAAATCAATTTACAAAAGCGCAAACTAGTATACTCTGTCGTATTTAAAAATACGAATGCATGAATCCATCTGTATTCATCCTACTAACAAAATATGCTATTGACGAATACGTACATAAATAGTTATGAAATCAAAGGCCTATACGAATTTCTGAAATTTAAGATGTGCAGTATTTGCAGCTGACTGTACACCTTATTTTAGCAAAGGGTCATAATAATACCAAAAAATTTAACTTGGTAGACAACCCGCACTACCCAAGTTTCAGTTAGTAATGAAGGATCTCATATACTGAACATTTTATTCATACTAATTATTAAATCTGCGTTTTCTTGTCCATGTATTAACTTTGATCAGATTCTCCCTCGCCCTTGTTCTTAAAAGTTCAACGAGTGCTTTCAATGGAACGAGCTTTTATTTCTTTTTTCTTACAACGTTTAGCATTCTATTGTTGAAGTATTCATTTTAATTCTATCACAAGGGAAAATATTACATAGTGAAAATTGATAAGAGTTTTTTTTCTTTGTGCTGCAGTTTTGTTTTACCTTACAATGAGTGTGATGTAATATTGATAAATTATTTATTAAGAGTTAAAATAAATTTACATTGATTTTTATTTTTGTAGTTTCTCTGACTTTTCCTCGTACATTTGCTGTGCATTTAGACACTTGCGCGAGCAATTACATGGGGAGCCTTGTCCTGGTAAATCAGTAATCTTTTATTTCAATACCTTTTATAAATAAATCACTTTTTATTTAGATATAACTTTAATGTTACTGAGATCACAAACAGAAATAATTTACAGACAGCAAAAATAAAACTTTACCACATAATGAAATACGCACTTATAAAAATATAACTTCTCAAACGATGTTAGATAAAAACTCATAGAAATTAAGTAAAAAGAAGAACACGAGCATCAGTTCATTAGTCATTAATAACTACGCGACGACTAATTTGCGATTGTAAAAAGTGATATATTACCATGAGTTATTGCACGGACGTATCTTTCGATCGTAAACAATGAGCTATAATTTCTGCAACTTGCTATAAAAAATGCAAATTAAATCGACTAATAAATCAATTTCACCGATCAAAAGGAACCTTCGAAACGATTAGATTTCATTAAAAATTAGGCCTAATATTTGTTCAGCAAGTTGTTTACATTTCTCATATAACGTGTTAATTTATCTAGATACGTTCGCATTAACAAATCATATTTACCATAAATCTTATAACTTAGTTAATCGAAGTCTTCATCTGAATCCGTCTTGAGCACACTGTCCGAGCAGGAGCCCGGCTCGCTGTCGACGGCTCTTTCTCTGTAAAAATAAGTAAAACAATCTGATATAGTGAAAATGGACAAATATCAAACCACACAAGTTGAAGTGACAAAATTAGTATGCTTCGTTGAAGTCTTTTGTACTCAAATTCGCTAACAACCATTTAAAATCATATTATCTATGATTATTTGTTAATTAAAAATATTTTTTAAACGATCTAATAGTTTTATTACTAACCTAAGATAGTATTAGAAATCATAAAAGTTATACATAAACATTGTTAAGAGAAATCAGTTAATTATTGCGATAAACTTTTATCTCACTGCGCAACTTATTCTATTTTAAAATCTCTCTCAGGTATGAAAATTCAAGATACATATTACATACCATAGAGTTTATTAATAGAATACTGTAGAAGGGGGAACGCGGTCGCATTTTGCCGCATAATTGCCCGCAACGATTCATCATAGAATAAGCACAGTGTACGGCGAGCTTAATATTAAAATAGCACGGTCTGACCAATAATTTATATCTGCTGTATTGATTTAGCGTCGCCCGCATTGAAGACATAATCGCACTTGATGCCTCGGAGAGGGTAATGAATCGAAAGGGGACGATTAAGTCCTTACTCCGTTAAGGCTACATTGCAGCTTTCATAGAAACGCAATACCTTGTAACCTATGGATTATTTATTTAAAAAATACACACATAAAAAATCAGTTCATGTATATTCTTTGATAATATTTACAATTACACAAATGTTAATGTAAAAGCTGTACTGTACTGTATGCATGTGAAGTCGAAACGTATTTTGCAGTTGATGTTGTAGAAAACTTCAAACAAATTTGTTTTATTTATTTTAATAGGTATTCAATCAAAATGAATATAGATATCTATTCTATACATATAATAAAATTGGTGTGTCTGTCACATCAATAGAAAAATTCCAGATTCAGGAAAATAATGTATTTGCGTTGCTGATAACGATAATCGCTATTAAAAATGTGTCGTCTGTATGTCTGTGTATCTGTTTATCTGGCTGTCTTTTAGCATGCCGCGTTTATTCCGGGTAATTTCCGAAACGGCTAGCCCAATTTTGACCGGACTTTCACTGAAGGGTAGCTGAGATAGACGGGCATATTATAGGCTACGTCTTTATCTTAATATTGCGTGGACAAAGTCGCGGGTAACAGCTAAATACAAAGTACAAGTGAATATTAAAACATGAAAAGGTTACTTATATCATTATTTAACACATTCTATTATCTATGTAAGGTAAAACAATCACTTTCCGAACACCGTAATGTGTGAAAACATGTTAGTACATGCAGCGCGAAGTAAAGCGAGATTGTTACAAAGTTGCCACATTAAGTGTTACTGACCACTTACAAACAACGTGGAAACTTTTGTTGTTACCGCGCTGTTAGTGTTTGGAAGTTTCGAGTGTTATGGTGACAGCAATTACTACAAATTACCCCACAGACGCGAAATAAAAAAGTAAATTTTATTAGGTATTCTTTAGCAGGTCTAGTGCTTGTAGTTAATACTAATTTAAAGTTAATTTAACAACAATTTTGTAATCACTTGCAATAAACACACGCAATTACCTTTTGCCTGCATTATTCCAATTTACCTCAACCATGTTACTGCAGAATAAAAAAATAATGTTTTATTTATTACGTAATTAAAACCATAATCGTGGTACCGGTATTAATTCTCTTCTTTTTCTCTTCATAAAATTTCAAATTGACTCGTGAATAGGCTCTATTTGATTTATAGTCTATTTAAAGATCCATACAATGTTCCCAGCAAGGTCCTACGTGGATGACTCACGGGGAAAACATTTTATGCTCAATCGAGTTTAGAGAAGAGTTTAAATTTTATAGTTGTATTTAAAATACTTTGTTATTTTATTTTAAATTCTCATTTGAAACATGACATAAATTAACGTTTACCATTTATTAAAACACATTTTTGTACTTTAATTTGTTGTCATTTGACGATTATGAAAACGCTATATGTAGCATAATATAAAGGAAGTAATCGAGGTTGGTCGCTCTCGAAACATGATACGATCACGACCAAAGTAACGGAATTCGCAATTTCCTTCTTGAAACTTTGCACACAGATAAAACAACCTATTACTAAGTGCAACATTTTAATAAGTTTAAATTAATCTTTTTAACTGTTTAGCTATTTTTATAATACGAACATCACAAGTAAATAATTAGAATCCTTTTATCTTCTCAAATCTATTTAAGAGGTGTTTATTAAAACACGTTCTTGTTTTTTAATGAGAATTGAGAAGGACATACTTCTCAGGTGGCTCAGACGTATGGTCTGGGTTCCCACTTTGAATGATCGCCACTTACCCGTTAAGGTCTTTCGTGAACTGTATGTCGATGGCGGCGCCGTCGCTAAGGCCGCCCAGCGCCTCGCACAGCTCGCCGCCCACGCCCTGCAGGTGCTGCGTGTTCAAGTGCAGACCCTGGCAACATATAATGACATTTATAAACTGTTTTGAATTTAATACTGTGATTGTCCACGCAATTACAGAATAAAAAATATTTACATTTACAAGTTAACTAGTTACACATAAACATTTTTTTTGACCGACTTCCCAAAAGAAGGAGGTATTCAATTCGTCGGTATATTTTTTTTTTTTTT